ATTTTTACTTCTTGTGCACCTGAAGCTGTTGGTGTGGCATTTTCTCTCTCCTCTCCCTTTTCTAATTATCAATGACATTAGAGTTATTTTGGATGCTTATCTCAGAATTTTTTGGAGCCAAAATGTGGCTTTGTGGTGCGTTGTGACCATTTTAGAAGCTTCAAACGCAATTGGTCGACCTTGGCTCCTGCAAGATTGAATGAAAGGGTAATTTTGAGAGTTAATCTTAGGTAACATGAACTGATTTTCACTATGAAAATGGCAATTAGAGTATTTGATGTTGATAAAGTAACATGAAATGATTTTCACATGAATCTGAATTTTGCAATTTGTCAAAATTGGACCAATTGGGCGAGTCCATTCAGAATCAAATGGTGCTACAAATCCTTGGGCTTCCCAAAAAGTTTCTTAAAATTTTTTTTGGGCATACATTTGGCCACATCACTTTTATAATTGACACATCCAACTAAATCTCAAACTTTAAAAAATGTAGTCTAATATATGTCGAGTAATACAAACTTTCAGAAACTTCTTGTAAGCTCATTGCAAGGATTCGCGCCCCTATGGAATGGACCTAAGAAGGACTTCAGAGAATGGTACACCATTAGGTGTGACAATGCCGAAAACAGTTAATTTTATCACGCAATTTTGCTAATTTTTTTTTATTATTATTTTCGAGAAATTTTCAAGCATTTTGGATGATAATTGATTATTTTGATGCCTATTTAGTCTTTTAGATGAAAAAGCAAAACTTTGGGTTGTTTTTTTTGAAGCATTTTGGAACCTTCTAACTCAATCGGACAATGCTAACAGTTTCTTAACATATCATATGGCAAAAGTGTCCAATCACATCTATATTGAAGTATGAACAACTTGATTTGAATATTTGACCAATATGAATGTTGATCACGGGTATCGTGTGAGTTCAAAATATGGATTCAAAAAATTGACTAAAATTAAGCAAATTAGACTATCTTGTTTGAAACTTTTGATATAAAACGATGTTTTGAAATTTTTGATTGACAGAAATTTTTATCGCAGTTGGATTGGAGATAAAAGTCTAAAATAATAAATAATAATGAAATTTCAATTTTGGGGTAGATTTGAAATGGATTCGTTTAAACTGATTAAATAGCACATTAAAGGAGTTCAAAATTCATAATAAATCAGAGTGGCATCACTTTAATTAAAATAATAAATAAATAAATCATACAAGTGGAGCCCGACAAATCAAATTAGATTGACATGTACTTTGGATGACAGCAGAATCTAGCGAACATGTAAACCGCGTCATCACATGTGCGGGCGAATATTCTAAGACTAAAAATGTTTAAAAAGTTAAGAAACAAAAATATGGGCAGCGGAATCTTCAATAGAGTAAAAGTTTTCAAGGCGGGAAGTAAAGTACAACATTGTGACTCACCATTAACAATACCATTTCACTTTTGTCTACTTAGTGATGTCTACAAATCATTCACGTGATTCCTACCACACACATCCATTTCTGTTTTGACTGTTTTAGTCACTCAACATTGCCAATTTTAAAAATTATCTCATCTCTCAAAATTTAATGTACTATATATTTATAATGTTTCTAATAGTATATATATTTAAAATTTTATTCTCTATCATTATAATAAAAAATTTAAAAATTGCACTATTAAAAAATTAAATTTTCAGGAGACATTTTTTGTGGGAGGGAGTATTATTTACCCTCATTTCAGTTTAAATTTTAACATTAATTGCGAGACGGGATTATGTGAGGTGGAAAAACCTTCCAAAATTTTGCTATGACGTGAGTGGCAGTTGGTGTATTTGTATAACGTCAATTACATATGTATTTTGTTATATTAGTCTAGATGAACACAATACGATAACTAAGCAAATAACAAGACATGATTTGTATATTATTTACCCTCATTTCAGTTTAAATTTTAACATTAATTGCGAGACGGGATTATGTGAGGTGGAAAAACCTTCCAAAATTTTGCTATGACGTGAGTGGCAGTTGGTGTATTTGTATAACGTCAATTACATATGTATTTTGTTATATTAGTCTAGATGAACACAATACGATAACTAAGCAAATAACAAGACATGATTTGTATAGAATGGGGCACGGCATGACAATGAATCTTTAATTAAAATCTTACATCACTAAGGTGATTTCTAATACGTACACACGGTGAGTTTATTAGACCTTTTTAGTTAAATGGATTGTTTATTGATATAATTTGGACCCAGATATCATCAAGTTAAATTCAAATCGACTTATTTCATTTCGCGTTCGAGTCGTGTCAAGAATTGCCAACTCTACGTAACGCTTAACTTGAGTTAGGTATAGCAAGAGGAAAACTAAAAGAAAAACATAACATGAGTTACCATAGGAAAAAAACGAATCATGTTTGGTTGTTGAACAAGAGAAAAATAGAAAGAATAACATTAACAACTAGGGATAGCAATTTTCACTGCAAGGATAGGTACCCACCTCCTTCCCGCCCTGTTTAGGTAAGTAAATTATTAAATTACTTTTATTTTATTAGTATATATAGTTAGCTCTAGAAATTTTGGGTCACATTCACTAACTTTCTCAACCGTTCTAGTGAGCGATAAAGCTATACGAATTAAGAACGCTCATACCCTTGAATTTTATATTAAATTATTGATTGTCCATTTTTAATGATTTTTTTTTCAATAGTTATATAATTGTATTTAAAAAATAAAAAATAAATAAAAAATGAAGAGAAATTCTGGAACTAAATGGAGCGGGGCCAGTGCCCGCGAGGGTGAAAAAGTTGAACGGGGTGGGGATGATCGAGATGGAAAGGTTTCCTATTTAGGCGGTTTTGGGCATGGGCAGGGGTTCTAAACTGTTGTGGGGGCAGGGAGGGTACATCCACCCAAAACTGACCCGTTGTCATCCTTATTAACAACCAATCATGTTTGTGAAAGGAAAAAAAAAAAAAAAAAAAGAAATTATTTTGTTGAATTTACCACAAAACCCTTTGATATAGGTCCTTGGGTGATTTGAGAACAACAATACTTTATGTTGCAAATTTAACAACTCAATTTGATAATCTTTCAAAAAAACAATTCAATTTGATTTTTGCATCCTTTACTATATATATATTACAATATATATATGGAAAATGATCTTCAGCCTGATGGATTTGGCCAATTTGTTAGGCAGAATCATAGCCAGCGTCTACTTGGCAAAAATAAAAAAAAAAAAGAAGAAAAAAAAAAGAAAGAAAGAATGTACGTGCATTCATCTTCCCATCTCTCCCCTCTCTCTCTCTCTAGCCTGAGCAATGTTCCACCTCCCTCTTTTGGGTCTTAATGGTTTAGGCGACTGAAATTCAGAATTCAATAAGAAGCAATTTTATAGTATTTTATACTGATAAAGCTATGTATACAGATAAGTTAAATCGCAAAATTTGTACCCATAACACATCGAACAATTAATTAATCCACCCAAAATAAAATTAAAGAGCAGAGATCTACGCCTACGAGAAGCAAGGACTGATGGTTCAGGCGAGGTGGAGGAAAATGTATTTTGGCCTATTTCTTGCTCGCTTGAGATCTACGCCAAATTGGGGATGACTCCTCTCGGCAGCTCCACCACTTTGAGATGCCACATGTCGATCAAGAACTCGTCGTCGGCGTGCCACAACTGGGTTGTTGCACCTCTGCAACTTCCGGCGTCGGCCTTGTGGGTAAGATTCCACCCAACACAATAGGAAAATTGACTCAGCTTCGAGACCTCAGCCTTAGTGCCAACCGCCTATCCGGTCAGATTTCCTCTGATTTCTCCAATCTGAAGCTTCTCCGTCGGCAAGTGCGTCTCACCAGTGCTATGTATCGCCCCCTGCGAGCTCATTGGCGGCAGGGCATTTGATGTGATGCCTACCGGCGACTCCCTCCTCGCTTTCGCCTTCGAGTATATCGCCACCACCCCAACAGGGGGCTCATCGGCAGCAATTGTTGCAATTTGCGTTGGCAGAGCGCTTCTTCTCTTTCTTTTCCTGATTCTCGTCATTTGTGGGTGGTCTCTGTTGTTTCTCAAATAATTTTTCATCGTATCACAACCAAATCCAGATATATTTTCACCATATCACAATCAAATCCAGATGTCTTACTTCAAACGAACAACCATCGCCAGACATGATGAGAATTAGAAAGAGAAAGAAGAGAAGTTTGTTGCTTTTTTTTAGTTGTCTGCCAGCTTAGTTGCTTACCTGGACTACCACCTGTATTCTGCCAAACCGGCCAAAATTATCGGCCCATGTATCACGACCCTTTAATACGTAAATCGTCAAAGTAGCCAAGTTACTCAGACATATCGGAGACAAGAAGTGACCTCCCGAAAAAATATATATATATATAAGACAAGAAATATTAGAGTTAGATTAATATATCTACATAGTTGAAATCTAACCCGAGTTAGATTAATATATGCAGATAATTGAAATTTGACACTCTAAAATTTATCGGAGACATTAAATTTCTAATTCATTAAAATATCGAGACAATTGAAAACTATAGACACTTAAAAAAAAAAAAAAAAGGGGGGGTAGTTTTGCTTAATTTAAACTAGTAATTCCAATGTCAAACTAAGCACCATTAGAAAATGACCATATAAATCCAAATGCTCACATCTCACATGTTACTTGGCTAATTTGCATCCGTCTTCTCTCACTGATTTTAACTATTTCCCCCATGGGATGGTAATTATCTTAACTCAATGATTGAAAGGTATAACAGGCAACTAAAAGAATTTTATAGGTCCAATGTATCAATCAAATATTATTACTTACCATGTTTGAACAAACAAAATACAAATTGATTACGATGTCTAACCAACATCAAATCATGATGAATGAGATCAACCCATAACATGATTGGACTATTTTTTAAAATGGGAATCAAATTAAATAATTTGATTTAACATGGAATGGTAGTTATGAAATTCCCGCCCAAAACTGGGCTCTTTTCGCAAAGCTATAACTAACTTGTCTTTTGCATATTGTTTCTAACTTTCTATAGAAAAAAAAGTTCTATAGAAAAAACAGTAACCATCTTGTCTTATGCAAGAGAGATTCAATGTAACAACTTTATATTCACACTAGAGTTTGTTTTTTGTTCTACTCCATTTGTAGAGAGAAGTTCTTCTGCATTTGTAGAGAGAGAGAGAGGGGAGAGGGATGGAAGATTCCGGTGACCAATTTGATGTGATTGTGGTGGGAGCAGGCATAATGGGTAGCTCTACAGCATACCAAATTGCCAAAAGAGGTCACAAAGTCCTCCTCCTCGAGCAATTCGATTTCTTGCACCAACGCGGATCGTCCCACGGCGAGTCAAGAACTCTCCGAGCCACCTACCCGGAGGACTACTACTCCGGCATGGTGAAAGAATCATCCGAACTCTGGCAACAAGCCGAATCCGAGGCCGGCTACAAGGTCTATTTCAAAACTCCCCACTTGGACATGGGCCCTTCAGACAACAAGAGCCTCCGCGCCGTCATCAACAGCTGCCGGTCAAATTCGGTGCCCTGCCGGATACTCAACCCTGACCAAGTCCACGAGGAGTTCTCCGGGAGGATTAAGCTGCCGGAGAACTGGATGGGGGTCGTGACTGAGCTCGGCGGCGTGATCAAGCCCACCAAAGCGGTGTCCATGTTTCAAACACTTGCGCTGAGAAACGGTGCTGTGCTTAGAGACAACATGGAAGTGAATGACATAAAGAGAGATGAAATGAGAGGCGGCATTTTGGTGCAGACCACAAATGGCGAGAGGTTTTGGGGGAAAAAGGGTGTGGTGACAGCAGGGGCTTGGATCAAGAAGTTAGTGAAAAGAGTGAGCGGTCTCTCACTTCCGGTACAGCCTCTAGAGACCACCGTTTGTTACTGGAGGATCAAGGAAGAGTATTGGGAACACTTCACAATCGCCGGCGGCTTCCCGACGTTCGCCAGCTACGGCGAGCCCTACATATACGGCACGCCGTCGTTGGAGTTTCCGGGACTGATCAAGGTTCCGATGCACGGCGGACAACCGTGTGACCCGGATAGGAGGACATGGAGTTTGGCGCCAATGATGGTGGACACATTGAAAGAATGGATCGAGGCAAGATTTGGGGAGTTTGTCCAGTCCTCTTCGGGTCCACTCATGACGCAGTCATGCTTGTATTCCATGACGCCGGACGAGGATTTCGTGGTGGATTTCTTGGGCGGGGAGCTGGCGGAGAAGGTGGTGGTTGCCGGCGGGTTTTCGGGACACGGGTTCAAGATGGCGCCAGTGGTGGGGAGGATAGTGGGTGATTTGGTGGTTAGTGGGGAGGCAAAAGGTGTGGAGCTGAAGCACTTTAGGTTGGGAAGGTTTGACGGGAATCCAAAAGGTAACATCAAAGACTTTGAAGATCAAGTCATGTTTTCTGGAAATTCAAAGTAGGGATATGGATTGTGATAAAGACCATATGAGATCTCTTATTATTTTCTTTATGTGAGAAATTAATTAGACATATGGAGTGTATTTGGAGCCATTCATTGGTGTCTTATCTTGATAATGCTATCATTGTTTGCCACTACTTTCTCTGCCTATATCTCTTGAGCGTGCGCGGGTTGGCGGCGCCGAAAATTTATATTTCTAGGTCATTTGCTGATATGTGCCGTATAAATTATATATATATATTTATATATATAATCAAGTAGATAGGAAAGAAAGTTTTGATGATGCTTTGCAGTCAATTTGCGTCTAATGACTTGCAAACTCAGAGTGATATTATAAATAATGTTTGGATTAGTCTTATTATCTTATGTACCGCAAATATAAACACACTAAGATGGGAGAAATTTTATTCTTATTTATTGTTTGTTAAACATTATTTTTTAGAATTTCACAAAAAGAAAAAAGAAAAAAAAAATTGATCAAGGTTGATGAGAGCTTTAAGTACTTAGTACTAGTTAGTAGGACAAAATATGTGCTTATGGTGGCAGAGTTTTATAGGTGATTCGAATGAAAAGGGAGTGTATATGACTAAAAATAAAAATTATTTTGGTCTTAATTACCTATGACCCTTTTTTTTTTTTCGTAACTGAACTTTAGATAAATTGTGATTACAATAAACCATTTTATTGAAGGCTTACCAAATCAGAATTACTATGAAAGCTATACGATTGAACTCTAAAACAATCATTCTAAGATTTTACAAGACAAACTAATCAACGCCTACACATTGAAGGTTTGGCTTTGCAAATTAAACAAAGTACGTAGAAATGAAATGGAATGAAAATGGGTACGAAATAAGGTCATGTTTGGTGTTATTTGGTGTGTTATATTAAAAATGAAATGACCATTCCAAAGCATTTCCAAAATACCCATTCCATCTAAAAAATGAAATGGTCATTCCTTTTCTTGATAAATGGAATGACCATTCCATTCCCACTAATAATAAAATAAAAAAATCAAAGACAAAAAATAGCTTTGGCTTCGTCTCTCTCTCTCTCTCTGCGTACCAAAAATACACACATAAAAGTGAAGCTCACAGGTGTGGGATGAGGCTCGCCAGACTAACTTTTTGGTTTGGTCATCACTGGTCTCGCCGGACCAATTCACAAAGTTTGTCGGAACTGTTGGTCGCCGTGACTGAAGCACGCTGGAACTGATGCTTCAGTTGAATCGTCGATGCTCACTGACCAAGCTTCGGATGTGAACTTTGGTGGGTCATCGGAGTGAGCTGAAACTTAGCAACTCGCCAGAATGATGAAGATTCTGCAACTGGAGCACATCGAAATTAATAGACCTTTGTTGCTCGGAATTCAGACCGGAATCACTGGTTGAATGAAGCTCGCCGGCGTTCATGGTGATGGAGCATCAGCTGGGTCTATCTTCACCGGAACCATTGAGTCTTTGAATGCAGCTCGCCGATTTGCCAGAGCTGAAGGGCTTTCACCGGTTTTAATGGAAGTCGAGAGTCCCAGTGTTCACCGGTTTTAACGGAAGCCAAAGGTCTGAACTTTCGTCGGAACAGTGAGAAAACTCCCTTTTGGGCACAATGAATGCTTCAGATTCAATTTCTATCAAGCTCTGATTTGCTTGTAAATGATTTCTTTCACCAAATTCAATTTCTTGTTCTCCCTGTTATATGTATAATACCCACATATATATACATCTATATACTTACATATACATATATTTATGTTTCTCTACTTTCTCTCTCTCTATTTATCTATTCTCCCTTTTGTTTTTGTAAAAGTTAATTTTTTTAGTTAAATTTTTTTACAAATAATAAAATGTAATTTACAAAAATAATACAAATTTATTCCATTTCAACTTTCTTACCAAACACATAATGAGAATGAGTATTCCATTTTTACACATTCCATATTTGCAACCAAACGGTAGAATGAGAATCATCATTCCCATTCCATTCTCTTGTCATTCTATTCCCACCTTCATTCTCATTCCATTTCAATTCATTCCATCACACCAAACTAGCACTAAGAATGAGAACGAAATGGAATGATCATTCTTATTTTATTTTTTATTTTTAAATATGAAATGCATATAATTGAATAATAATAACCATTCCAACTTTTGGTTGGATTAATTTAAAATTTACAATTAAATTCTTCAAAATACCCTTCTCAGAGACAAACCTTTTGCCATCTCCACTACCACCGCCACCTCCACCAATGTCGCCGCCACTGCTTTCCACCATCATCACCTATACCACTGACACCTTCCGCCAAGTTGTCGCCTTCCGCCACCACCACCAACACCGCAGCCTTCCGCCACCACCACCAACACCGCCGCCTTCCAACACCACCACCTACACCACTCTCACTTTTCACCTCCACCGCTACAACCATCTCTTTTAAAAAAGTAATAGAAGAAAGTTATTTTGTTAATTTAATTTATTAGTGGAAGTTGGTGGCGGTGGTGGAAGGCAGTGGTGGCGGCAGCGGTGTGGTGGTTGAAGACAGCAATAATGGTGGCGGTGGTAGTGATGGCACTGGAAGGTAATGGACGTGGCGACAGTAACAGGGGCAATAATTGTGATGAAAGGTGGTGGTGGTGGTTGTTTTTGTCTTGGAACATGAGATTTTTTATAAACTAATTTTTGTTAAAAATATATATATTTTGGAATAGGATGGCCATTCCATAGCCATTTCTACTTTAAATTGTACGCCAAAATAGAACTTATAAATACTTGACAAGTCACAATCCTTGACAAGTCACAATCCAACTAAGATGTCACAAAATTAAACAAGAAAAATGATATTTTGGCCTTGCACTATAGCCAAAATGTTGGGCCTAAGTATCACAATTCATTGAACAAAAACCAAATTGACAGATTGTATAGGACAGTATTAATTGAGTATATAATGTATTGGATGTAACAATCAATATTTAATTTTTTGTTCTTATTGTTTGGTTCAAAACAAGTTACTATTTTATTCGATAGTTTTAGGTTGCTATCCCCACTGGGGTGTATAATCCTCGGTCAGCCACTCTAGGTACAGAATTGTTGAACATTGCGTTGAAAGGTTGATTGTGTATTACGTATATTTCTAGTCCCAATACCGATTGCTTCGATACTCCATCATGGTACACCTAATTTTCAGCAAGTACAAGGCCAAACTTCAAATTTTCAATTCCGAGAGTACGTTGTGAACTATAAATTGTTTATTTGAAATGTTAGCACAAGACGTGTGAAAGAAACAATCAACAATCGATTATGCTTATAAATAAATAGTTGTACGGAAAATATCAACATTAAAGTATAGGGCGGAGTGGAGGCGGAGGCCTCCCCTATATTTATTATTTATGTTACATAGCTATAGTTTTGCTAGAATCCTAAAAATGTACATTAAATACTTTTATAGTCTTACTATGCATACCGGCCCACCAATGGAATTTGAGGTCCTAATCAACTCTCTTTCACACACTTGTCCAGTAGGAAGAAAGAAAATTAACTGGAAGGAGAAAATATGAAATGGACTTAGACAACGTACGGAAGAGATTGTCTCCTTTTTTTGGTTTGATTAAATGAAAAACAATGACAACTTATGTTATGAGAAAAGGAAAGAGAAAATTTTAAATTATTGTTATCTTGAGGGAATCCCACGTTAGCCCTTAAGACGGTCTTTAACTAGAAACTTCTGGTCCAGTAGATTCACAAAACTCACTAGAATAAGCGGTATTATTAAACCAGACAAAGCAACAAGCAATAAAACCAAAAACAGCTAAAGTATCACATTTTTTCCCAATGAAAAAGAAGATGGCAGCCAAAAGAAAAGGAAAGAAAAAAGAACTAAGGGGCTACAAGTATGGATAACATTATAATTTAAAAAATTTATAGTAACCTCACTTGTCTTTCTCTCTTTTGTGGTGAAGTAGGAGAAAGGCTAAAACATCTCTTCTTCTCTCCACTCTATCAAATCAAGAAAATTTGTTCCTTTGTTTATTTCTTCCCTCCACCAATCAAAGTTTCTTCCTTCGCTCTCATCTTCCCTCCTCCAATCTTACTTTCTGTGTAATATTCTCATTCTCTCTTGTATTCTCTCTCCATATAATCCCATTCTCTCCTGTAGTCTATCGGGTACTCTCTCTCTCTCCATATATGTGTGTGTGTGTGTATATATATATAGATATAATCCATTACCTACTTTCCTTTCGGTAAGTAATCCATTTCTTACCGTAGAAGGAAAAAAAAAAAAAAAAAAATCTCTATTTGTTTTTTCCTAAATTTATTATATTTTTTGCGACAGCCATATGAAGACTAGTAAAGAACAATTGTAAATATACTCAATGAAAATATTAAGGTTCTTTTATTTTTTATAATAATTTGAAATTTTCCTATCTTATTTATTGTTGGGTCAAGGCCAAGCCCCCTCAAATAATTTTCTAATCTTGATAATGCTATCATTGTTTGCCACTACTTTCTGTGTCCATAACGAAGTCAAGCTAAAAAAAAAGTGAGTGATTCTGTGCCCTCGATTTGTTAGGAGAAAAAGGAAGATCTTCCACCGCAGGAAGTGGCAGTGACTGTAGCCAACTCCTATTATACAACAATCCTTGAGTGTTTCTAACCCTTTTCAATTTGAGCCAGTGATTGGAACTATTTCCTCTAACTATTGATGCCCCGTATCAAAAACCAAACCGGACTTGCCTAGTATCTCCTTTGAGCGTGCGCGGGTTGGCGGCGTCGAAAATTTATTTTTCTAGGTCAGTTGCTATATGTGCCGTATAAATTATACTACGTGTATATATATATAATCAAGTAGATAGGAAAGAATCAACATGCCTGTGGCCTAGTGGTATAAGATTCTTACTTTTCAAAGAAAGGTCAAGGACAGTGAAAATAATGTGTGTGAGTTTTGATGATGCTTTGCAGTCAATTGGGTCTTATGACTTGCAATACTGTGATATTAAGATGGGAGTAATTTTAATCTTATTTATTATTCGTTAAACATTATATATTAGAATTTCATAAAAAGAAAAATAAAAGAATAAAAAATAATAAAAAAATGATCAAGGTTGATTAGAGTTTTTAAGTACTTAATAGGACAAAATATGTGTTTATAGTGCCAGAGTTTTATAGGTGATTCCAATGAAAAGAGTGTATATGACTTGGGTGTTAATACTTAATACTTTAAACATTCTTTTAGATGACAAAAAAAAAAAATTTATTTTGGTCTTAATTTTTTATGGGCTTCTTTTTTTTTCTGTTTTTTTTCTTTTTTTTTATCTAAACTAAACTTTAGATAAATTGTGATTACAATAAACCATTTTATTGAAGGCTTACCAAATCAAAATTACTATGAAAGTTATACAATTGAACACTAAAACAATCGTTCCTAGATTTATCGAGGACGTACTAATCAACGCCTACACATTGAAGGTTTCGCTTTGTAAATTAAACAAAGTATGCATAAAAGAAATGGAATGTAAGTAGGTTTGGAGTAAGAATGAGAACTGAATGAAATGATCATTAATGGAATAAGAATGAGAACCGAATGGAATGATCATTCTTATTTTATTGTTTATTTTTAAATATGAAATGGGTAGTAATTGAATGATAATAACTATTTCTGGTTAGATCAATTTAAAATTTAAACAAATAATTTTTTCCCCCCCTAAATTTAGTGACAAATTAATTAAATTAACAAAATAACTTTCTTCTATTATTTCTTTAAACAGATGGCGGCAGCGGTGGAGGTGGAAAGCGAGAGTGGTGTAGGTGGTGGTGGCGGAAGGTGGCAATGGAGTTGATGAAGGCGGTGTTAATGGTGGCGAAAGGCGGCAATGGTGTAGGTGATGATGGTGAAAGGCAATGGCGGCGATAGTGGTGTAGGGAATGCAGTGGAGGTGGCGGTGGTAATGGAGGTGACAAAAGGCTATGGTGGTGGCGACAGTGGTGGCAGTGGGAGTGAGGGTGGTGGTGGAAGGCGGTAGTGGTGTAAGTGATTGTGGTGGAATGTAGTGGTGGCAGTGGCAGTGGCAGTGGTGATGGTGATGGTGGAAGGCCGCAATGGTATAAGTGATTGTGGTGGAATGTAGTGGTACGTGGTGACTGCAATGGCGGTAATGGTGATGGTGGTAGTAGCAATAACGGTGAAGGAAGCTGAAGGAGGTGGCGGTGCTAAAAAATGATAGTGGTGGAAGACTGTGACATTGGTGAAAGTCAGTGGCGATGGTGGAAAGCAGTGGAGGCGACGGCGGTGTGGTGGTTGAAGACGGCAATAATGGTGGTGGTGGTAGTGACAGTAGTGAAAGGCAATGGACGTGGCAACAGTGACGGGGGGTGGTTATGGTGAAAGGTGATGGTGGTGGTTGGTAGTAGAAGGTGGTGGTGGTGGTTTTTTTGTCTTGCAACATGTGGTTTCTAGAAACTAATTTTTCTAAAACAAATATATTTTGGAATAGAATGGCCGTACTTTAAATTGCACGCCAAAATGGAACTCATGAATCCTTGACAAGTCACAATCCATGACAAGTCACAATCCAACTAAGGATATCACAAAATTAAACAAGAAAAATGATACTTAGGCCCTGCACTATAGCCAAAATGTTGGGCCTAAGTATCACAATTCATTGAACAAAACCAAATTGACAGATTGTATACGACAGTATAATTGATTATAGAATAATGATATGAAGATCGAAAAATTAATTTCGAATAAGTACCGAATCTGACATGTTTTTATCCATCTCATTTATTTAAACAATTTTAAAAAATAATTATTTAACACGTGATAAGAATGACTAATCATGTCAAATTCGACGTTAATTCGAGAATCCTTTTTCGGTTCCCAATCATTACTTGATTATATAATGTATTGGATGTATCAATCAATATTTAAATTTTTGTTTTAGTGTTTGGTTCAAAACAAGTTATTATTTTATTCGATAGTTTTAGGTTGCTATCCCCACTAGGGTATAATCCTCGGTCAGCCACTCTAGGTGCAGACTTGTTGGACATTGCGTTGAAAGGTTGATGGTGTATTACGTATATTCCTATACCAATTGCTTCGATACACCATCATCATGGTACCTAATTTTCAATTCCGAGGGTACGTTGTGAACTAGAAATTGTTCATTTGAAATGTTTACCGTAAGACATGTGAAAGAAACAATCAAGTATCGATTATGCTTATAAATAGTTGTAAAGAAAATATCAACATTCAAGTACAGGGCGGAGTGGAGGCGGAGGCCTCCCCTGTATTTATTATTTATGTTACATAGCTATAGTTTTGCTAGAATCCTAAAAATGTCCATTAAATACTTTTATAGTCCTGCTATGCTTACCATGCCACCAATGGAATTTTAGGCCATAATCAACTTTCTCTCACGCACTTTTGTTTGGTAAGAAGGAAGAAAATTAAATGGAAGGAGAAAATTTTAGGCCGTAATCAACTCTCTCTCTCTCTCTCTCTCTCTCTCGTAAGGAAGAGCTTGTCTCTTTTTTTGTTTAATTAAATGAAAACATTGACAACATATGTCATGAGAAAAGGAAAGAGAAAATTTAAAATTATTGCTATCTTGAGCGGATTCAACGTTAGCCCCAAGACGGTCTCTAACTAAAAGAGTAAATGCTTGAGCTTGAGAAACTTCTGGTCCAGTGGATCCGTAAAACTCACTTGGATAAGCGGTATTATTAAACCAAACAAAGCAACAAGCAATAAAACCAAAAAGAACTAAAGTATCACATTTTGCTCCCACTAAGGAAAAAGAAGATGGCAGCCAAAAGAAAAAAGAACTAAGGGGTTATAAGTATGAATAACATTGTAATTTAAAACTTTTATAGTAACCTCACTTCTCTTTCTGTCTTTTGTTCGTATTTGGAGGGACGAATACTTGTGAAGCAGGAGAAATGGCTAAAACATCCCACTATCTACTTGTGAAGTAGGAGAAATGGCTAAAACATTCTACTACCTTCTCTTCTTCTTGTCTCCTCTCTACCAAATCTAAGAAAGTTTCTTCCTTCATTTCTCACATCCCACTATCTTCTCTTCTTGTCTCCTCTCTACCAAATCAAGAAAGTTTGTTCCTTCATTTCTCTCTTCCCCCCTCCAATCTTCTCTTCTTGTCTCCTCTCCACCAAATCAAGAAAGTTTGTTCCTTCATTTCTCTCTTCCCCCCTCCAATCTTTACTTTTCCGTGATGTAATATTCACATTTATGTGATGTAATATTGTCATTTCTCTCTTGTATTCTCTCCCCATATTCTCACTCTCTCCTGTGGTCTATCGGGTTTCTCTCTCTCTCTCTCTCTCCGTATATATAATCCATTTCCTACTTTTCTTTCGGAAAGTAATCCATTCCTTACCGTAGAAGGAAAAAAGAATCCCTATTTGTTTTTTCCTAAATTTATTTTATATTTTTGCGACAGCCATATGAAGACTAGTCAAGAACAATTGTAAATATACTCAATGAAAATATTAATTAATATTAAGATTCTTTTATTTTTTATAATAATTTGAAATTTTCCTATCTTATTTATTGTTGTTCAAGGCCAAGCCCCTCAAATAATTTTCTGGTGGCACCAGTACAAGTGTACAACCAAGAGCCGGAGACACAATGCGATCACCTGCTAATATGTTCAACAGCCCTGCCTGCATTTCCAGCAGCAACACCTATTTCCCTCATAGGCATAGATGATTTTGCGCACACAGATACCGCTAGGGCTACTGCTACTGCTCCGGCTACAGCACAGCACATACAATGACTTTACCAACAGGTCTAGTGACACCAACTTTCAAGATGCACATTTTGGGTCCCTTATGCCTACATATTACACCCATACACTATTGCTGCAATAGAAAAGAAAAAAAAACTTGAAACCTTGATCATGCCCTGTTATATTTTCACAGTAAGCAACGCCGAAGACACTTAAGTTCAGATCCGGTCTCTCACAAATACATATACTTAAGCTGATATTAAGGATCGACAATAAAACAAATTATGAACCTTAACGGTGCAGCATTGCTGCCTGTATATAAGAAGATACAACCCCCTCAGGGCTACAAAAGCAGACCTGTATACCCCTTGCTAACCGGGCACACTAAACCACTTCTCAATCTATGTCATCTATGATGTATGTTTTTCTTTTTCACTATTTTTTTTCTTCCCCTTATTGGATGCAACCAAGCAATCTGCAACTTACAAACAAAAAGAGAGCACGATTGCCTGGTTGAGCTAAATAATGAATTAATCTGATCACATCTAAATAAAATTGAAAAAGAAAATCAATTATGATACAGAAAATCTTGGTTCCCCATGAGATGAATAAGCAGGGACGTGGTTTTTTGCGTTTAAGCCACAAATGAGAACCTGCAGATTAGAAGAACCAAGAATTTAGGACGAGCATGGCAAAGCAACTGTATGTATGTTCCACTCAATTCATAAGAAGACATAAGATAAGTGCATGTATGTATGTGTGTGTGTGTGTGTACATTATGAGACGCCATAGTGGAAATTGGTACCATACACTACTGTAGCTACATTTTCCTTTTGTTCTACACTAGTCCATCCATACCGTGTAAGATTTTAGATTTAAGCATTTTATATATACAAATTAATATTTCGATCTTATAGTATGCAATAGCATAACATTTGTCAACTAGTGATGTTATGTCTTGACTCGTACAATATTAAGCTGAAACGCAAGGTAACAGGTTTCATACAATGAAAGTCTACGCAAGATAGTTAGTCACATAACACCACTACCAACCAATCGGCATGAAAACCTATTGGACAATTTATCAAAGCATGTAACAATAACAGAAGTAAATAGAAGCCAAATATTACAAGAATATGGTGAATTATGAAGTTTACCCAATTGGGGCTATAGTGCAGCCAAATATTACATGACTACTTTGTATGATAGATATACGCATTCATGTACACATTAGCTAAATCCATAAACATACACAACAATTTTTTTCACATTTTTGCTTTGAAATCCTACTGATTCAATTATCGATCTCTATAATTTATTTTCATCATTTTCTTAAGTCATTCATTGTTTCTGGTTCTTAAGCAGACATTCATCAAATTCTATTACTTCAAGATTAATGATTGACAAAACACGGAGAATGTGTTCCATTCAGTGCTTGTTCACATTACATAACTACCAACCATTTAACATGAAAACCTATTGCACAAATAATCAAAGCATACACAAAAGCCTGATGTGTCGATACAGTGAATTTAAAAGGATACCCACGTGGGGTGGTACACGCGTTTAGTACTTTTTATAATAGTTACATATATACGTATAATATGTAAATATGTACTTCCTTTGAGTCTAGACACAACATTTTTTCATCCTTTTCTTTATTTGAAATCATACAGTAGAATAATTCATACTACATGTCACTATAAATAATTTCATGTTTTTTGAAGTCATTAAAAAATCATATACTGCAAAAATTAATGCTTGCCTAATAAATGAATGTGTGTGTGTCCTGCTAGTTACACAACAATATCTGTTACAGCTAGATAAGGCAAGGAGGTGGCAAAGAGTGGACGGAAAATAATTTCCAGCTAGTTTAGTGTTACATCAATGACCATGGCCACCTCTTAAAAATGGGAAGAGAAGAATAAATCACTAACCAGTTCAGCTTCTTCTCAAACTACATATGTTGCAATAAGGGCGTGAATTACAGCCCAATAGATGATGACACCAAGTCGTAAAGCAGGTTGTCGCATTAGTGCCCGGTCACAAGAAACCCTGGCAGATTGCATAGGCAAAATGCTTTTGTCATTGAAATCAAATATATGAAAAATAAATGTAAAAACCAAAATAAAAAATCAAATCAAACAAACAAACAAACACAAGCAAAAACAGAAAGTGTACCATAGACCATCGATCATGTCAGATAAAGGTCTTGTGAATCTTGGAACAATTCTTGACGTAGTGAGCGACTTGAAACCATGAGCTGGAATGAAAGAAAGAACAAAATAAAAGATAAAAAAGTGAAATTTTCACAAATATTATCAGCAATTAAACATGCAATGTGTAATATTCTATAGTCATACAGAGGAGAAAATTTTCCCTATTGGGCAGTCCTAACAGAGGACAAACAAAGTCCCGTTTATTCACCAAATTACAATCACTTCCAACATACTCAACGATCTTCATACTTTCTACAAGAAACTAGCTGACAGTAATTGCAGATATAGTTGCCGCTGGCTGCTATGGGACTCAGAAAAATAGAGGCAGAATTCAAGAAATTGACTCAGAAAAACAGAGGATCAAATTTTCATCTAACAAAAATTGCTAATGGGGTTAACCTAAGGGAATAAATCTGGTTGCCTGCTTGCTCCAGAGTCCAATATAAATACATTTACAGGGATATGCTTTTTTTTTTTTTTTTTTTATACAAGTAAATTTACAGGAATACGTTTTTTTTTTATACAAGTACATTTACAGAAATATGTGTGAAGATATATTTGTAACTTATTTGCGCAACCTACTGGATGTAGAGGGAAACAAAAAATTATAGCTTTGTTGTCGCTAGACCCGTGGGGGGGGGGGGGGGGGGGGGGCGGAAGGCGAATAGGTCTTATGGATATTCATTTACTTGAATTTAAATTACAGTATATTGCAAGAAATGATTTTCCAGTTACAATTAACTTTCAAGCTCAATCAATTAAATCACAAATATGCATAAACTGGAAATAGAAAAGAGTATGGATATGGATTTTTACATTGAAAACCTAGAAAGGAAGAAACCATGAGACCTAATCTAGTCAGGCACAATTTATAATCGAGAGAGAGTTTACAACTAAGTTCACAGCTCACTCACACTCAAACCCCTAGTTACCTCTACACACAGACGACGCCAGACATTCCCCAAAAAGTCTCCTGGTTGTCCTTCTGCTCGTCTATGACATTCGCCCCTCACGAATCTACTTCACTGGTGATTGCTCGCCCATGTTTGATCTAATTTTGCTCATTGAATAGGATTAGATTGATAAATATGCTCCTTGAAGAGTACAGTCACAAATAGATAGTACATCGGAAAAACCTAGTTAACAAAAATCTCTCAATCTAAGAATGTGTAGGGATTCTCTGCTCAATACTTCTTACCCTAGACTAGCCATAATCCCATATTTATAGCCAATAAAGGAGTCTCATATGTTTTATGTAGTTGAAACATTATAAAATTGTATTTTGAGAAAGTTTCTGAAAACATAGGTCCAACAGGTTCGATCGATTGAGACTTTGATCAAAGCCTACAAGAACAAATTCGATCAATCAATCATCGATCGATGCATTTTGGTATTGGATTCAATATTACCTGCAACAATTTCAATCCATCGACCGACCATTCGATCAATGCTCTTTGGAAATGATTCGATTGATTGACCACTCAATGTCTGCACACTGTTTCCCAGCTTGGTGTCCAGATGTGAAAAACTTTTAAAACATAAGATTTTGAGAAGCCAATGTTCAAAAATATGTTTTCTTCTTAACCTCGCAATGAACAAAATGAGACGTTTGCTTGCTTCACCGCCAACAAACAGGCCTACTAGGATGCTCTCTTGGATGGGTAGGGGATAGGAGGACAATACATCCACTTTTAGCTGGATTTCTTTGGGGATTTACCTTAGAGAGCGTTCACAACTAGATCTGAAAAAAGGTTTCAAAACATATTAATGAGCCCAACCAAGATCAAAACAGGTCAAACTAAGGTCTTGCTGAAGATATTTTACGTGATTGAGGATGCGAACATTCTGCCATAATCTTTATAATTCAGTGTCTGCCATGTCTTCATTAGATTGTCCATAAATGACTCAAAACACTTTGACACATTACAGCACAGGTTTTGAGTAGGAATATGTAAATAAATAGCCCCATATCCAGACAGCATGTATTGGACATTTTGTCTTAAATTTCAATCTAGAAGAAAGATGCTGTTATTGTTTATTTTACTTGCGCCATTAACAAAGTAAGCAGTTAAAATTACAAGTGATCCCTATCAAATAATGGTTGACGGTTTTGCATCTTTTACTTATACTCGGTTAAACAGTATTGATCTGTTTTTTTCCCAATAAGAAACAATAGTGGTCTGTTACAAGTTCATAACCCTCTATATTCAGCTTTCACATTTTAGTTACTTATTTTGTTATTACAAATTCATCTTTGGTACCGTATTATAATTTTGACTGCCCCAAAAGATCTCTTGGTTTACAAGCGTCGAGTTGCACCTAATTTGAAACCAATAACACCTGCAGTGCCAGACACCAACCAAAAACCCAAGTATTCAGAAATGAATTACACATCTTGATCGAAAAAGTAACTTATTGAGGAGAGAGAAAATTGTCGGAGAATCAAGGATGATGAGGAGTCCGTTAATCACCTCCTTTTGCATTGCCCTGTGGCGATTGATTGTTGGAATCTTATTGTTGGGTTGTTTGGCATGTGTTGGGTTATGCCAAAATCTACTAAGGAATTGATTCATGTTTGGAGAGGCTGTCGAGTGAGAAGAGACGTTCGCGATTTCTGGAGAATTGTACCACATTGTGTATGGTGGTGCATTTGGAAGGAGAGAAATAGCAGAATGTTCGAAGGAAAAGAGTCGCCTACGGAAACGGTCAAACTTTACATTCTTCGTTCTCTCTTCAATTATGTGAAGAGGAGCTTTTGTTCTTCTTCATATGATTTAATTACTTTTTTGGATTCTATGGGGCCTTAGTCCCGGTTCTACTTTTGTAATTGGGACGCGTTCCCCTCTTGAACGCTTTTTTTTAATGTTATTTTTACTTATCAAAAAAAAATTTTGGTTTCATGCCAGATAGGTCAATGGTGGAGGCTATTACTTATTGAGGAGACTAATGGAAAGATACTGAGAGAAGAAGAGAGATTTTCTTAATATTTTTATTAATTTGGAGAAATCCTATGATGGGGTACCTAGAGACTTAATATGGAGGGTTTAGAAAAGAAAGGAGTCACAAAGGGAAACACTGACATAATAAAGGACATGTATGATGGTTGTGTGACTATAGTTGGAAGTTAGAACGCCTGTATGGGAAACAAGCGAAATCCCAATTACTGTAGGTTTACACCAAGGATCAGCATTAAGTCCATACCTTTTTGCCTTTGTTATGGATGAGCTGACAAGACACATCCAAGATGCGATTCCATGGTGTATGTTATTTGCAGATGATATTGTTTTTAGTTGATGAGACTAGAGAAGGACTTAATGCCAAATTGGAGGTTTGGAGAGAGGCTTTAAAACTGAATATAATTCGAAATAAAGGGTTTAAGATAATTTGAAATAAAACTGAATATATGGAGTGTAAGCTTAGTAAATCTAGAAACACAAATGAGGATGTAGGGAGGATTGAAAATCAAGAGATACAAAAAAGTGAACATTTTCATTATTTAGGCTCAATTATTCATAATGAGGGAGAAAATGGAGATGATGTTCATCATAGAATCAAGGGAGGACGGGTTAAATAAAGGTGCGTCTAGTATATTGTGTGATAGGTGTATCCTCTTATAATTGAAAGGGGAGTTCTATAGAACAGCTATTAGACATGGTATTGAATGTTGGGCAGTTGGGAAACAACATTTGCATAAAGTGAGTGTGGCAGAATTGTGAATGTTGAGATGGATGTGCAGTAAGACTAGAAAGGATAGAATTAGAAATGATCGCATGCAGGAGATGCTTCGAGTAGCGCCAATTGGAAATAAAATGAGAGAAACTAGGTTGATGGTTAGGATATGTGCAAAGAAGACCTTTAAGTGTGCCAATTAGGAAAAGTGACATAGTACACATTGAGGGTAATACTAGGGCAAGAGGAAGACCAAAGTTAGTGTGGGTAGAGTTAGAAAAAAAGATAAAATAGCATGTAGATTGACTGAGGCTATGGCCTAGAATAGAGCAGAATGGAAAATGGGGTTCATGTAGCTGACCCCAAATAATTGGGAAAAGGCTTGGTTGTTATATAAAAAAAGTATATTGTGTGCAATCTTTATTCCATATTTTGTTTCTACTTTAAGTTGATTCCTAGCTTTGTTTTACTCTGCATTATGGCCATTATGGATTTTTTACTTCCTAAAACACACGGATTGTCATTTAATATCCCATAGTGGTGCAAAAATTTAATCATTTTTCACTTCCAACATGTTTCTGGAGAATTTGAGGACAAACTTCAAGTAGTGTATTGATTGTATGTAGTTTTTCCCTTGCATTCACGAGTCTTTTTCTTCACTTTAACCTCATCATACGAAAGAAACAAAAGAACTGAATAAAGAATATATAAGAAAGGAAAATCTTACCATAGTAAACACCCAGGAAAAAAACATCCTACCATGGTAACATGATTGACCGAGTAATGGAAATGAAATCAACTAAAAAAGAGATAAAGTATAAATGAATAAGCATCTGTATGGTTTCAACATTATAACTGTAATGACAAAGTGTTCCAACTTGCAACACTGGCTGCTTTGATGACATCTTTTAGCAGAAGGTGACAGTCAGCCCAGAGTTCTATTTCCTTGTCTTTTATTTACTATTTATATGTTCGCATGTGTACTATAATATTTTTGAAACTTTAAACAAAAAACATAAGCTCACTTCCATTTATTCGGTTTTATTTATTTATTTATTCCAAATTGTAATAGGCAATGCAAGAATTACTTGTGCATAACTGACTGCTTAGAAAACTCATGTGCATAATATATGGGGGGTCAATAGTAATACTGAAAAGGGCAACAGATGTTTGATTGTAGGAATGAGGGAAAGGGAGCAGTATAACATTACCCTTGTCATCATCTTCATCATCTAACCTATAACCACTATCAGGTTCCATATCTATAGCAACGGCAACTTGGTCGTTATTGACTTTGCGCAAACTGCGAACTTGAGGTGCACTGGAGGTCCCAGGTACTGCCCATTTATTTATCTGCACCAGAAGTTCACCAGGATGAATTTATGGAGAATACAATTGCTCCAAACACAATATCGCATCAGTAGAACTTAGTTGTGAGAACATAAAATGAAAAATGTATCAAACTATCAACCAGATATCTAAATTGAATTTTTAACTGTTCTAGTCATGGAACATGCATGAACATATATTCAAAATAATCCACCATGTACCATACAAAGGCATTGCACAAAATTTGTACATCTACTAAAACTAAACAAACTACTGTTCTCTTCAATGGATATTACTGGTCATGTAAACATAAAGGTTGGTAAGCTTTGGATGCAAGGGTGTGAAGTTTTGAAGACTTCAAGTACAATATAACTTGGAACCCTATGAGTTAGCATGTTTTCAATTATTATATCTGATGAACCAAACATCCTTTAATTCTAGAATTTTGGATATAGTATTCAGACGTGTGTTGATTATAGAATTTCAGAATATTTGAAAACACATCAGCTACTTCTTCCGAAAGTTACTTTTATGTAGGAATACAGCCAAAATTTCCACCTAATGAATCTTCTAAATGAAAATAAACAGACAGCCAATTTGGTACATGTGAGTCGAATAAAAATTATTCTAGGTTTCCTAACTTGAATATTTTAGGGCCTTGGGGGGGGGGGGGAGTAACAATAACATACCCCAAGCTAGATATCAATTACTAGTTCCTAAAAAATTCCATATTAACAGACAAATAAGTACCACAAAAAACCAATATATAACCTGCACAGACAATCCAATCTTAAGGCCATAAGCACCATTTAAAGCAGAATTTTATCCATTTAAGGTTTCCCATATTTTTTTCCAAAAAGAAAAAAAAACACAAATCATTTTAAACTAAATATATTGCTGAAAGAACCCATTGAACTTTTAAATAAAACATATAATTCCCATAAAGTAGTCATCTTTAAGAGCAACTATTGCTGGGAGTTCCAACAAGCAAGACAGAAAAGATCACTGACTGTATTCAAAAAAATTGACATGGGTAAAAATAATAGAAATATTTATGTTAAGATAGATGCAAACAACAAAGGGATAATTTATCAAGTTTAAATTATATGAAAATCACTGTCCAATATAAATACTTGTACTCCTTTGCCAGTTTATATCTATAGAGAATAATATTTATCCAAAATCCTCGCCAAAGAGTTTCTATCGTTTCAAGGGTGTATATACACTGATACACAGATTGTTTTAGGTACATCATACTAAAAGCAAGAGCAGCCATATTAAGGGGGCCTCCCGAAACATTTAGAAAACATATATAAAAGACAAATGAAAAATACAAATGGGAACAATACACCCCAAGGAAAGAATGTCAATTACTGGTTCCTCATAGAAACCCAAACTAAGCCTAAATAAGTACTATGAGAACTTGCTCATAAAAGAACAGCAAAACAGTAACAATGTATTCACCCATGGGGTGTGTATATATATATATATATATATATATATATATTTAGTCCTGTAAAAATCCAGTTAGATCAAACATGTCAATAAATGTAAAAATCTGACAAGAAGCAAATGTAAGTTACAAAAAATGTTTGAACAAAGTCTATACAAGCTAGTATATCCTCGTATTTTAAAAAGAAGGAAAAAAAAAAATCCTTATATAGTGTTTGCCAACAAATATTATTTAAAATTAAATCTATTGATGCAATGTCAAGAAAACAAAGTATTAAGCATATGAAATGACATACCGGTTCAACTTCCACAATTTCAGAGGTCATGCCTGTCGCCTGCCCAGAATCTCCCACACCCTGAAGCATAGATAATTGAGATTCCTTTTCATGTAAAGATTTCTTAAGAAATTCTTCTTTACATAATAACTCTTCCACTCTACTCCTCTCCACTTGTAACAGTGTGTCTCTGCTCTGCGCCGCTACCCGTAAATCTTCCAATTCAGATATGGTTGACATGATCTGCCTCTGAAGTATCTCAAATTCATCAACCTGATCATTTTTCTTATCATCAAACTGTGCATTATCCACCTGAGAAAAAGTTGTGTTTAACCACGACAACAAGTCATGGACCTCAGCTGCATTTCTCTTGCTGTTCATCTGGGATGCAACTAGAGCATCATTGGTGCATCTGGTGACCTCTTGCCTTAAGAAAGAGACCTCTGCATCGCGTTCTTGTAATTGTGATTGAAGCTTCTCAACCTCAGAGAGAAGGCTTGTAGAAAAATGGTGGAGTTCATCAAACTTGCTCACAGTTATGGAAAGCTTTTTCATAGCCTTTCCACGAGAAGCTTCGGCGCTCTCTAAATCTAGATTCTTTTGTTGCACAACTCTTTCCAGTTCTGCAATTTTACTAGTTAGATCTTCCATCTGGGTCTCCTCTTCATCAAGAGCATGCATCAGGGACTCAATTTCTGTATGAACAAGAAATTAAAATTTAAAAACAAATTATCTAGATGATACAATTTAGTTTATAGCCAAAAAGCATACTAAAAATTAATATAACTTACCCTGTTCTTTTGCAGCCAGCAAATCAGTCAGTGATCTAACTCTCTCCTGCAAGTCTTTCGATGTCGCTTCTCCAAATTGTAGTTCTTTTACTCTGTGCTCTAACATGTTATGTTCCTCCTCCATCAATTCCACCTTTCTCTCTAAATCATGCACCTGGCCCTTTTCAGACTGAAGATCTTGCAAGTAACTCCTCGCAGCAGATTCAGCTTCCTTGATCTGACTGACTAGCTCCACACAAATTCTGTCCTTTTGAATGTCCTTCTCCCAAAGCTCTTTCTGCAAATTTGAAATGGTAATCTTCAATTCCTTTTGGCCACCTGCTACAATCTCACTTTGCATACGGATGGAGTCCTTCACAACCGATAGTAATCTATTCACCATGGTCTGTATACATTCTTCAGAAGACGAAAGAGACAATCCACTGAAAAGATTTCCTCCATCAACAGATGATGGATCCAAGTGGATCCCCTGATCTGCAGCCGCCAAACCATTTTCAATCATCTGGACTTTCCAATTCTCAATTTGCATAACTGAATTAGTGCAAGCTTCATAAAGCAAGGAAATGTTCCTACGCATTACAACAATTTCAGCACTTTTCTCTTTCTCAATGTGCTCTAACCGAATAATATTCTCCTTCATCGTTTCACAAGACTGTTTTTGGGACTTTATTTCTCTAAAAACAGTCCCCACTACTTCAGAGAGACATTTAGCTTCTACATGTAATGAAACCGAGTGCGTGTGCAACTTTTCTTTAAGAGCATCAATCTCCATTGTAAATTCTTGCAGCTTACATCCAACAAGACTACAAATTTCAACTACAAGATTGTCATCGAAATGCAGTTGCATCTTAGAGTCAAACACAGAATCTGAACCCAGAAAGTTCTCCTGAACAAGAAAATGAATATTTTAGAAAATAAAGATGATGTGCACTATGTGAAATTACATATGAAAATGATCGGACCAGACAAGTAGTAGACTGCAATGTCTGCTTAATGTAACAAGCTTCAGCTTCCACATAATACAAAGGACAGCTGCAATTATCTAAAGAAGTGGAGGGAGAGAGGGAGAGAGAGGAGAGAGAGAGAGAGAGAGATTTCTCAAGACATTCGCACAAGCAACACTGAAAAGCAAAATTATTGCAACTGTCGACCAGAATAAGAAATTAACTCAAAAATTGTCACGATAAGGGGGAAACCAAGAGAACAAGTGATCTTTTCCAACATTTCCAACATTTCAAGTGGGAATAAAAATAAATTGCATAGCAATCAAGTAAATTAATGATAAGCGATAAATCTTTAATACAAATTTAGATAAGCCAAATCCAGGAAGGCTACCAAGCAAATGAAAGTAGAATGACTTATAAAATTTGTAAACAAAAAACAAAATAGTCCTGTATCGAGCTCCCAAAATAATGGGCTTTCTTTTCTGAACCTTTTGGCCTCAAGAAATTGTATTCCCGAAAGCTTGAAACAAGAAAAAAGTTAGACAGCCTTCATGCCAAACAACCAAAAGTTTATGTTGTAATGATAAATGCTATGAACTTGAGGCAACATTGAACTATATTAGTGAGGGTGCAGATGGATGCAATATTTCTCAAAAAAGTTAAGGGCCCGTTTGGCATGCGATGTGTTTTAGACGTTATGTTTTTGGTCAATACCAAAACAACCGTTTTGTTGTAGGAATGTTTAGGGTAGAAGTCGGAACCATGTTTGGTAACAAAAATTGTTTTTGGGAAATTCGGAAATTTGCTTTAGTTCCTCCGCTATAATACAAAAACACACAATATCACCAATTTGGTATTATGAGTTTGGGCCAAAAAATCTGATATGTTATGAACTATTCTAAACCAATATCAGCCGTCCCAAACATGATATGGGCCCAAATTTGAATATCAATATCAGAAAAACAATATCATAATGCATGCCAAACGGGCCCTAAGCGGCCTAGTAATAAGCAGAATCACGGTTTGATGAAACAAAAAATTTTAGGACCAGAGTGTTTCATTTCTTTTGTTTAACTATTCATTTAACTGTATCCAGAACTTTTGTAATGCAAATCTTTGCCTTTTTGCAACAATTTAGAGGTTAACCTTTTGAATTTCAACTTCATAATAGAAATTCTGGTTACAAGTTTATGGTGAAATCCCGCTTGTAGGATTCTAATACCCAAAATTTTCATAACAAACAAAATTAAAGATTTTTTACTTCAATAATGTGGAAATGCAAACTCAAATGAAAAATACCACGAGAACAATGGCCATATTGATGTGGGGATATTCATTTGAAAAAACAAAATCCTTAGGTCCAAGAAGATATCTTCTTTAACACATAAATTGTGCCATTATTCAGCTTTTATGACATTAAGAAAATAAATAAAAGGGAATCAAATTTCAGAAATGACCACCATAGTGATTTTTGAGATACGATTCTCAATGTATGGGCTACTCACTAAAGTTTGCTCACTGTTTGTTTCTTTGGTTTATTTGATGTACAATTCATTTTCTTCTAGAAATACCGACTTGCTTTCAGAAGAAAAGTATTTTAAGTCCCTCCCAGAATCAAAATAAAGTGGTTGAGCAATAATACAAGCTTGGACTGCCAAGTCTGAAAATGTGTGGTAAGTCTGAGGGCAGCAACTTTGTGCAAATAATGACAAGACTGTGTCTATACTTGGTCCACTCCACCCACCACCCTTGCTTAATAGTGACCAAAGTCAAGTAATGGCTTTTACAAAGAAGCGTTTAAGTACTGAAAATTATTATAAGGACAAAGCACAGACTTATTATTCATCAATATGAATATCTCCATCTAAATTACCAACTGGACTAAGTTTTTTTCCTCGTCATTATTTTCCTAAATGCCACTAGAATGATGGCATTTTTCATAAAATATGAACAAATACATTCATAAATATATTACTAATATAAAGGTTTGATAAAAGCAAGTAACTTGGAGCAAAAAAGACAAAAATTTTACAACCTTGTAAGACAATCAAATAGATTTCCATATAGAGAAAAATAAAAATTAACAGAACAAGAAGATGTTGGCAGACCAAGCAACATATATTAATCTGAAGTGCAAAAGGAATCTCCAGAACCAACAACATGCGCAAAATTGGATAACAAGGATACTATCCCAAGGTAGTAGTGTTGAAAGTTTGTTATCGGATTCTGATTGAAAATTTTGTTTAAGTTTGGTAAGAGATTGGTAGCAGGTACTTTCTTTGAATTTGCTTATAATTTGAAGAATTATCTATATTCCTTACTTGTCCACACACACACAAAAAAAAAATGTATATTTCTTACCTTAAAAAAAAAAAGTAAAAATTATATGTTCGCCCACTACCATTAACTGTTAAGAAGTGCTAATATTACCATCTGAAAACATTTCTAGGAAGACCATCATTAAAAGGAATTCGAAACAAAAGGGGCATTTAGTAGATGCATATCAAGAAGTCATTTTACTCGTATAAATTATGATTGGTACAGCAGTTGAAAATTGCCTTAACTACTAGAATAACTTCAAATTGACAGCGTGTTACTCTTCAACCTTAATGATTACTTAAAACGCATTTTGATAAACAGAAATTTAAATAAAACAATATCGTACATAAACACCACGTATAAATATCTTTTGATGGAAACCAACACATAAAAAAGCGTCATGTAAAATAAATATAAACAAAACATTACAAAAAGAAAATGTAAGTACCATTGCTACACTTTGACACGTCCAATCTTGTTAGAATTAGAACTAAAAACAGAAGAAGAAAAAAATTACACGGGGAGGGAGGGAGGGAGACAGAGAGAAACAGAGAGAAACAAAACATCAAGATAAATAGAAATTCCAGATAAATTTGTTGAAACAAATTGTCAACAATTTCTTCATTTTTCTTTTCCATTTTTTTTTTTTTTTTTTTTCTACATGGCAAGGAGGATGGGGTGAGTCGAACCTGGACTCCCACAGGGCTCAAGGGAGTGCTTCTACAAACGAAGGTACCCACCTCACCCCAAATTGTCTACAATCAGGTTGAACAGATTATAAACTCTAATTTCTTAATACTTCCATCTTTCCCTAATTTTCAAGAACATGTAAGCTCTTCTCTAGAAAATTTCTTCAGTGCCTCTGTATCTCTTAATACATAAATTTCACTGGCTCTATTTAGCATATTTTTCCAATTTTAGATCCAATATTTTTTACTTTGCAGCTTATAGAGTTCATTGTAAGTTACGTGTGTGTGTGTGTGTATGTATATATTTATATATATGTATGTGAGCAAACTATTGGACTGGAATCCTAGACTCTGAATAAAGTTAGCGCAAGGCTGTGATCTAGACTTAGAAGGGGGATGAATAGCTATCAATTCAAATTTTTAACTGCATTTAACTGATGCTTTGAATATTAACAGAATTAACAATAACTTAAAAATCTAATTAACTAAAAGACATGTAAATCAATCCATCCATAATAATGATCAAGTACATGAGAATATTAAAAATAATAGAAAACAAACACGTAGTACAGACATATTATTATTTTAAAAACCCAAAAGAAATGAACAAGACCTAGCTAGGCAGATCAAAATCCACTTTACGAAAAAGAGGTTACAACTACGTTATCAGATTCTCAATAGAATGATCAGAATCGCGTAGTCCCTCCTGATTTAGGCTTGTGGAAGATCACCCTCGATTTTTCACATCTTTTGTGCCTAACATTTCAAATAACTCATCTAATGCATTTTGTTTAGCTTTTCTTACTGTCTTTTTAGCTTCATTTTTAAGTTTCTTGTATTTCTCTGTATCGTCTTGTTTTAAGCTTTTTTGTCATTCTTTAAAACCCATTCTTTTATTTTTATTACGTGTTGTATTTCCTCACACCACCACCACATTTCTCTACATAATTTTCTTACCTTTGGCTCTTCCCAAAGTTGCCTTAACCACCGTCCTTATACAATTTGTTACTTTTAACCGAAGACTATTTATTTCCATCTCGGAAGCCCAGACACTTCTCCTAAGGGTGTCATGGCGGTATCAGACACACATAGGACATGTGTTGGACACGGCTAGAAGTGTTCTAAAATTTAAATATTTTATATTTTTGGTTGGCACGGCTGAGAAACAACATGGACACCTTTGGGACACTTTCAGGACGAGGCAGGATGCTTTTGTAATTATTTATCTTATCAATGCAATTTAAATTATATTAAGGTTAATTAGAAAAATAATATAAAAGTTTTAGAATACAAAAAAACAAACATTTATTTCTAAGCTCCAAATTAGTAATTTCACTCATGATTAAATGGATAAAACAAGCAAAAATTATTATAAATATTATTATTATTTTTTGACTTATCCCTGCCGTACTCGTGCCCTATTTTTTAAAGATAAAACATTATATATGTGGTCATATCTCTGTGTTTGTATCATGTCGCACTTGTGTCCGTATCCATGCTTCTTAAATGTCCATTGGTTTTCTTGTAGTATCTTTTCTCTGAATTTTATCTCATTGTTGCCTTTCAATTCTTTCTACTTTATGAGCTCCTTTTGTTTCCTTTTGGACTTAAACCCTCTATGCTTAGTCATTGGTGAGACTTTCCTCAGGATTTACATTACAATATTTACATGCTTTTACAGAAACAAAAATAAGATGATGTGTCGTAAATGAAAACAAGAGACACAGAACAGAATTTCGTGACACAGAACATTTGAAAAACAAAACAAATCAAACAACAAAAAATAGTACAACATTTATGTGCAACTGAGCATGTGCATACTGTCCATATAAGAAAATATTTAAAGTAACAATACCTTGCTTTCAGAATTTGGAGATTTAATGCTGCCAAGAGCACCACCAAAAGGTAGGCCAGTCATGTTAGGAGTATCACTTGCCTTCAGACATGACTTGATACCGACCTCCAGATTGTGCAGAAATTCCAAGTCCTTGGAAAAAACATCACCTAGTAGATTATTAACATCAAAGAAGCCCTTCGTGAGTTGATCTACACCAGATTTTAACAGCATTAGTTCAGCAAATTGGTTATTCCTTTTGTCAGAGTGAACAGAAGACAGCTTTTCAAGACGTGAAAGAGCTTCAAATTTGGCAGCTTCCGCTGAATCCCTTTCCTTGGAGAGTTCTGAAAGCTCACTGACAGCTTTTGATAGCTCCTCTAGGAGGCCATCATTTCTTTCTTGAACCTCATTCAGCTCAGCAAGGAGTAGTTCAGCTGCTCTTTTAGATTTCCTTGAATCATTTTCAGAAGAAGCAACAGCTGAATGTAAATCACGGCATAATTTCCCGATATGTTCCAGCTTCTTGACTGGATCACTGATATTGAATTCATAACCAACATCAACATCACACAAAGTATTCATAATCATGCTCAAAGCATGCCCTTTTTCCTGCAAAGAGTATTCAGTTTCTGCCAACCGATCTCTCAAAAACACGCTCTCAGATTCCAGGGCTTCTACCCTTTCCTGGTAGGTGGATAAGTCCTTGATCTTCTGTTTGTACTCTAAAAGAGTATTTTCCCGGGAGTTAATCTCAGATTTCAAGCGTTCCATCTCAACATTTGCCTCTTCAATGATCTGTTTCAAACTGTCCCGCTGTTGTACCAATGACTTTCCTTTTCTAACTGCTACATTTAGCTTCTCTCTTACAGAAGCTGACTTCTGTTCCTCCAGATTGAGTAATTCTTGTAGTTCTTGTCTTCTCATATTTAGTGCTTCAACTTCATGGACCAAATATTGATTGTTCTCCATATATCTATCTCTCTCTTCTTTCACACACATCAAATCACCCAAAGCATCCTCCAGCTCTTTCTTTAGCACTGCTATGTCCCCCTCAACTGCATCACCAGAATCTACCATTCTCTTCTCATCATGAGTAACATTAGCTTTTTCAGTAATATGCTCATCAACTGCGTCCCCAAGAACTGGATTCTCCAAAGAAAGGGCCGTGTATTTCTCAATAAGCTTCCTCAGCAATCCTTCCAAACACTCAATACTACTGCCACCAGAAACCACATCTTCTGTACCAGAATCCTGCAGTACATGACTAATCAAATTCTGCAATCTTCTTATCTCATCTTCAACACGGTAAATACAATCCTCAGTCATGACCTTATCAGCTAATTTGTCTTGCATACCAGTTAGTTCATTCTGCAACTTATCCTTCTCAAGTTCAAATTGGACTGCCTTCTCTGAGATTTTATCATAATCATGAGTTAGAGCCTCCAGATTTTCAAAAAGATGCTCTTTCTCAGAGAGAACATCTTGGAGAGCTGCCTCAAGGTTAGATATTTTCGTTTGTGACTCCTCCAGATCAGCAGTTAGTGATCCACAAGACTTCTCAAAGTTATCAATATTTTGCTGGAGAGAATTACAGTGTTGATGAGCCTCAAAAAGTGCACTGCTTAGCCACTCAATCCGATCTTCTGGCTCCATTGACCGCAACTGCGTAGGCATATTTATCCTGTCCAAACACTCTTCCCATCGCTGCACAAGACTGTTCCTTTCCATTAAGGACTGTTCCAGCATTTCATTCTGTTCAGCCAACCCATAGAACTTGCTCTGGAGCTCCTCGTACTTTCTTCTCAAATCATCACCTGATGTTGAATTTGGATGTACATCTTCTTTCCAGGCATCCATAACCACAAAACCAGCATCAGTATAGGATCCTCCTACAGAACTTTTCTGATCCCAATCAGCAAGAGGCAAAGAGTTCCCAGTAACTGTCCTCGCTAACCAATCAACCTTCTCAATTATATCTTTGGAATGAAAATGCTCTGGTAGCTCTAGGTCTTCTAGAACCTCCTCTATTCTCTGAAGTACAGAATCTTTGAGAAGAAATGATTCTCTTAATGCAGTAGCTGAGTTGCGAATGTATGAGAGCTCCGATTCCAGAGCTTCCATGCGCTCACCTGCCTCTGAATAGGTCTTAAGTTTTGTTTCAACCTCACGAAGTCTGGCATCTTTCAACTGCGCCTCCTGCAAACATTTCTCCAGCTCAAAGGATGTCTCTGCAAGAGACTGCTTGAGACTGTCACGCTGCACAACTAAACCTTTCCCCTTTGAAACAGCTATGCTAAGCTTTTCTCGGAGAGAAGATACCCGCTGCTCTGACTGCTCAATTTCAGTTACTTTCTCCCGTAATTCAGAATGTAGAGCAACAAGCTCCTTCTCTGCTTGGCTCAAACTTTCCTTAAGAATGAGAATTTCATTTTCATGTTGAAGAATCAAAAAGCTTAGTTGATCAATTTGTCCCTTCAATTCAGTCACTTCTGCTTCCTTTACATCATATCTTTGTCTAGACAAGCCAAACTTTTCATCAGCCTCTTTGTATTTCTGAACAAGAAAAGATACCACTGACTCCAAGGACGATGTAGGTTTATCAGGGTCAATCTCAGACTTCTCAATAAGCGCCAGCTCAGCCACACCTTCAACATCTTCAACTAACTTCAAAATGGCATCCAAATCAAGGCAACTTTTCTTATGTTCCTCTATATCCTTTGCTCTATCCATCAACTCCGAATTGAGTCTGTTGTTTTCAGATACAAGTTGCAGCCTTTCACACAGAAACCTTCCCAGTTTTTCCATTAGTGTATCATAGTTACTAGGATGTAGAGGATCTAACAGTTCCTCCTCACTTGGTTCTATAGACACACATGAATCATTTACAAGCTTCGTAAGGTTACCAAATATCTTATGCAGTACACCAATAGCCAATTCATTCTTTCCATGCAAATCATTGAATTTTTCAGTCAATTCCTTGTAGGAACTGCATATGGCTTCATGGTCTGTGCCAGCAGCACTAATTTTCTCATGCAGATGCTTAATCAATTTGGTGGCAGCATCAACAGAAGCAGCAACACGGCTACTAATATCTAGATCATCCTGAGTGCTGGTTGAGAAAGTGGAGGAGAACAGGCTCCCGACCAATGCATCGAGCTTTCCAGTTGACTGAACAACCTCAGCAACAGTAGAATTCCATTCTTGCTCAAGAATTGATGTCCTCTCAGCCACTTCCTCGTGCAGATTTTCTAATTGATTATAGATAGAAGAAGACGTCTCATTTGAGCTTAAGTGCATTTCATTCAACCGTCTTTGCAAATCACTAACTACTGATTGATACTCACTCAGCCTTTTACCAGATTCACTGTTCTGTGCCTCAAGGATGATGGCTTGTTGGTTTACAGCATCAGACAATAGCAGAAACTCACCTTTCTTTGCTTCAATATCGCACACATGTTGCTTTATAATTTCATATAAAACCACAAGTTCGACATTTGCTGCTTCTAAAACGTTATTTTGTCCCTTCAAGGCTTCATGGGTAACACTGAGCTCCCTGAATGCGTCATCAGCGAGTATTCTACTGTCTCTTTCCTTCTTGAACAATTCACTGGCATTGTCAGCATCCAAACCCAACTCCTTAAGCACTGCTCTTAAATTTCCTGTTTGTTCTTTTGCTAGCATGAATAAATCCGCAGGAGATTCATTTTCAGTTGAAGCCACTTCCTCTACCTCAAGGTCATCGAGATGAACCTTTGACTCGAAAGCTTGAATCAATTTTGATACCCCAGGTGCAACCGCTTTATCACTTGACCTACTTAAGAAGACCGAATGAGAGTGCAACCCATCAATTGCCTTCTCAAGTTTCTGCATTATTTCCTCTGCTTCCTCCGAGTGTCCCTTCAAAACCACAAACCGAAAGGAATCATCATATGCATTCAATTCAAGATGCTTAAGAGGTGACCTATCCGCAAGGCCATCAAATAACTCCCCCTTCCCTGGAATTCGGTGAGCCTCGTCATCTTCAGTTGCACTGTCCTGGCCCCTGCTTGGCATGTCAGAACCTTCAACTTGGTTCCCAGCTTCCCCTGATTGAGACAATAACTCATTTCGCCCATCCTCAAACTCTTTTATCTTAGCTTTATGCACGTCAAGACTACTGTTAAGAGAGACATTTTTCTCAGTGAGTTGTTCAAGGTGCACAGTTGCTTCTTTTAGGTCATCCACAGCGTTGCTATGTCTGACTTGCAGCCCTTCCATTGAACACTTGCAGCTTGCTAACTCCTCCAATAGTTTCTTATTCTCAATAACAAAATGCTCTTTCTCTTCACCAAGCTTGTTTCTTTCCTCCATTACCGATGTCAGGCTCCCATTTAACTCGGTGATTTCAACCTGTAAAGCTTCTACCAAACTCTGGCAGTCTGTTAATTCTGTTGACATTTTCTCGGTCTCACGGGCAAAATACTCCTTTTCTTCCCCAAGCTTTTCCCTCTCCTCTGTGACAGAACTGAGAACCCCATTTAAGTTGGTATGTTCAACCTGAAGAGCCTCCATCAAACCCTTGCAGTCTGCCAAGTCAGTTACCAGTTTCCAGTTCTCACTAACAACAAACTCCTTTTCCTCCTCAAGCTTCGTTCTCTCCGCTGTCATCAAAGCAAGACTCTCCTTTAGGTTGACATTCTGCACCTCAAACAACATTAATGAACCCTTGCACTCAGTTAAATCTGTCAACAATTTCTCATTCTCAACAACAAATTGTCCCTTCTCTTCCTCGAGTTTCAATTTCTCGTCAGTCAGTGAAGTGAGCCTCCCATTTAACTTTTCATTTTCAACCTCCAAAGCCGCTAATAAACCCCTGCAGCTGGCCAACTCGCCTGACAAGCTTGACAAGTCCCCTTGTGACTTTTCCAGTTTTATATTCAACTCATCAACTCTGGCAGAAAATTCCTCAACCTCAGCTTGTGAAGTATGAAATTGCTTCTGGAATTCGTCCCTCACATAAGCAACAGCCTGGAGTTCAGACCTACACTGCGTAAGTTCTCCAACAAGGCTTTCATTCCTCCCTCGAACTTCATTGAGTGAAGCATTGGCAATGGATACTTCATCAACCAACTGATGATGCTGGTGATCGAACTCCGTCTGTAGTTCTGCTTGTTCATGAAGTTGCAAGTAAAAGACATCTTTTGCAAAACTTGTGAGATACAGTTGTTCCTTGAGCCTCTCCAGATCATTACAAAGATCGTACTCTGGTTCGATTGAACAAGCAGCATTCATTAATTCTGCATTAGTTGACAATTCTCTTGATGTGAGCAGAAACCTTAACTCATTTTCATCAAGCCCTCTTATCACCTCTGCAAGCTGAGACAGGGTAATCGAGCTCACATCAGCACCAGAAGAAAGCCTCACCATTTTACTATCCAAAGGCCATTCTTGGCTCTGACCCTTAGATATCAATTGTTTGGCATCAACTGTATTGTCCTGCTTATCTGCTTGAACCCGTTCTGTACAGTAACTACCAAAATCATTGGAGGTAGATGGCATTTCTGATTTTTCTTCGTTACGTGAAGCTGCAACTACATCTGCGCTCTGCTGATCTGTCGGGTCAGGAATTACAGCAGCAGATCCATCTGATTCGGGCAAAGGCTGAGGTGAATGACCATCAATCCCTTGACCTCCTACCTCATTGGTTGCACCAGAAGATGCGGAAACATCTAGCTTGTGGGTCTGCTCTGCTACAAGAGTTGCCTCCTTCAAGCCCGTCTCTGCTGACGTTGTCCCTGCATGAGTTTCAGCATATTCACCGAATCCAGATAAAGCAAGACTCCCATCTAGTTCAAGCTCTATCCCAGTGCTTTGACCAACTGGCTTTGAACCCGAAAGGTCAGCCTCCTGCATTGCCCCTACCCAGCAACAAATGAGATTTTATACATCAAATTCACATTGTTTTACCAATTAGAGCACTTTATTCATCAATAATTACTAGATAAAATATGTGTGTGTGTGTGTGTGTGTGTGTGTAAATGGAAGGTATCACGAGAAGGTGGGCACAACCTACAATTGTTACCTGGTCCTCCCCTTCTGCACATTCTGTTTCAACTGCATTGGTATCCAGCTTAACAGCATCAACCAAATCAAGTGGGGCTAACAGATCAACAGCCACGGGTGAATCAACATGTAATGATTCCTCTTCAGAAACTATAGTTTCTAAAATTCCTACATGTGTAAAGCCTGTAGTATTCTTGGGATCAACAGTACAGCTACTTTCACTTTCATTTGTAACCAAAGAATCAACATGTTGTTCTTCACCGACACTCGGTTTCAACACAGTTTCGCCGACTCCGTTGTGCTCCAAAGGAGCCTCAACATTATTTGCCAACGATGATTCAACTATGCCTGTCTTAGGTACAACAGGCACAGATGAGGGATCAACAGTGCCAGCATCAGCGTCAGTGGTCACTGAATTCTCCATCGAATGTGATGCCGATGAATCAACAACCCGGGCATGGGAAGCAGACACTGAGCTGATTTCCACATCAGGCACCTGTAGCGACACCGCTGCCGGTTTAGCAACAGCAGTTCCTGCTCCAGCATCAACATCGCGCTCAGATTTACCAGCTTTACCTGACGATTTACTTCCTTTACCATCCTTCTTCTGCCGAAATTGTTGAAGCTGATAATGGATAAACAATGTCAAAATCGAACTCCAAGTTGTCTACACACAATAATTCAGATCTCTCTCTCTGTGTTTGTGTGTTCACGGCTGAGCTAACTAAACAATCCAATTCAGTTGAGTTTTTCACTCATCACTTTCAAAGGACCAGAAAACAGAAAATTTAGAAATCACAACTTTACTTTATTTTCCTTTTCCCTGTTTCCCAGCCTCCAAACATGAATTAGCAGATCATTTTTACCAAAATCCAAGAGTTGAGCAAATGGAAAATCACTAACCCTCGGTTTGGTTGTTGAGAAAAATTAAGAATAATGAAGAAGAAGAAGAATAAAAGAATAAAGCACTAGCTCTCAACTAAATCAACTAGTTCAATAGCACAGTTAAATGAGGTTCCCCATTTTCTAAGTTCATGAGAAACAAAGAAGTGTAAGAAACTAAGATTCAAACTTTCTAATCACATTTTACTCTCCGTGCAATTTCTCAGCAAGTAAACTAAACTTTCATAGCTGAAATTTAAGACAAATTGAAAACCGACGTTAAGAATTCATTGATAATGACCTTTTTACGACCGGCCGCGAGCAGATCGCTGCGGTTCTTATTCTTCTCCATCTGATCTGGGCCGTCGTTGCAACGTCAGTCGATAAATCATCAACAGACACCAATCAGCCTCAGATCATCCTCCTACAGCATTCCCCGAAATGAAACATAAGAAATGTCATTGTCATATATACACATACATATCCACGCACAACTTCAACGCAATGAACCCTAATTTTCGAGTTCTGATCAAATTTCGAAAGCAAAATCAACAATAACAATGGAAATAGACACCTGTGATTGGCATAGAGAGATACAGAGAGAGTGATGCAGTTTGATTGTTGATGATATGAATGAAGCAAATACCTGTGATTTGATTTTTGGATCTTGCTGTGATGTGGTGGTCTTTTTAGGGTTGGTGGTGTTTTCTTCGGTTGCTTCGACTGTAAAAAACGTGAATCATGCCTCCATCTTGGTTTATTCTCCTTAGATCTAACGCAAACTTTCTTCGTTACGTTTGCGATTGATTGAATTGAACACAAGACGATGTGGTTATGGTGGTTACATAACATCAGTGACAAAGAAAAATACGAAGTATACAGTGGGGCCGAGTTATTGGGCCGTTGGCTGGTCCAGAAGCCCCTTGAGGCCCGGCCCAAGAATAGCGACACAAGCACGGCTAGATCTGTTTACAAATACACCCACCCCCAGTAGTATTATATGAGACTAGCATTTATTCTACCTTTCACTACTATCAAAAAGGGCTGCAACCGGGGCGAATTGGAGCGTTCATAAACCCAAGTTAATGAACTAGAGTCAACCCCATCTTTAGTTTTTAAAGCTTGTGTTGAATTCGGACTTACAAATTCTGTTTAAATTTGGACTTCCAACTCCAATTATAATTTGGATTTATGTAATAACAAATGAAGTTTGTCTAACTTTTTCGTAAATGAAATAATTGAATATATTAGCATAACATAAATAAGTTAAAATAATAAATGAATCAAAAAATAACATGTTCATTACAATTATATATACATTTATATATACTAGTAAAAGGTACGTGCGATGCATGTGATAAAAGTTTTGTAATTTATAGAATTTATTTTTTCATATATTTTTCAATTTTTTATAGTTTTATAAAAAAAATAGGCAAAACACTTTCAGGCCCAGAATGCCTTAGAGAGCAATAATTGTCTCCTCAAAAGAAGCAAAATAAGATTTTCCATTGAGAAAATAATGAAAACTATAAACAATTAAAAAATATATGAAAATAAAAATTCTATAATTTACAAAACATTCATAAATAAATACTGAAATACACTAAATATATTTCAAATTATAGAAACTCTAAAAATTATTACCTAATAAAATTCAAATATAATATAATTTTTAGAGTTTCTATAATTTGAAATATATTTTGTGTTAGAGTTTTAATAAATATTTTATTTGAATTTTATAAGGTAATAATTTTTAGAGTTTCTATAATTTGAAATATATTTCATGTTAGAGTTTTAATAAATATTTTAGGTCTATAGTTTTATAAGAAGTTTCCATGTAATCCTTTATAACTCAAAACTGATATGGGACTAGAAAAATGTTCAATTAATTTTTTTATTAATATTTTTTTATATTTTATTTTGTTTTGAATTTTATTAGGTAATTTGTAACCGGTGGTCCCTGTATCAGATATTAAACCATACAAAGAGATATTACACTTGCTTTTAGCCAAAAAGCCAAGAAGCATGTAATCCTTTATAACTCAAAACTAATGTGGAACAAGAAAAATCAATTTTATTAGGTAATTTGTAATTTTAATTAAACTCTTTAAATAAAATTTTATGAATTTTATTAGATAATTTGTAATTTAAATTAAACTCTTTAAATAATTTTTAGGTAAATTTTTTTTTTTAAAAACTCTTTTTTTATATTAATAAATAAATATTAAAATTCTTTGCCACTTTGATTTGGAGGGTGCATGTGATACCTCTCGAATCCGAGACATGGGTTAATCAGGCCCAAGCCCAAACCCGAGGGAATATCAAACAATTAATATTTTAAAACGAAAACAGATGACAAAAAGATTTAAGAAATACTTAATAAAGCTAAAAGAATTTTAAAATATATAATTCTCAAATAATAAATATTAAATAATTCAATCCTTCCAAAACCTCCAAGAGTACAATTCGGGAATCCATCTAGTGGACCCCTAAATAAAATCCCAACTAAAACTGAAAAACCGGAAATAAAAATCAAGTCTAAAACATGGAATGAAATCCTACGTCGTCGGTAGAGTGAATGACCGCCTCTGCTCAGCTGAACAAGCCCGAAGACTGGAACCGTTCGTTACCTGAAAAATATAAAAGTGAGTTAGGCACACGAACAAGTTATAATCTAACTACAATCCACATAGTGACCCGATACACAGATACATACTAGATATCTCAACAATAGCTATCTAGTCCATACATATATATATCCACACTAAGGGACATTCACTGGACTATATAGGGGGTTTCAACCTGAATAGATTGCAATATGCAAAACGCACCTAAGTGGGCATGAGTACCTAAGCCTAACAGGGTATACCTCAACCTATCATAGCCAACTACACATTCACTGCATATACGCACTCTAACCATCGATTCTGAGACTCAAGCTCATATCGTGGTACCATAATCATATATATAAAGTCCGTCCAAAATCAGAGTATGTCATTCAATTATTTGTTAATCCAATTAGCCACTCAACTTACTCAGTCGATCTGACTTAACCATGAATAACAATAAATCCAGGTAGTCATTCAACTTACTTGGTCTATCTGTCTTAACCACAAACCACAATTAATCCAGATAGTCACTCAACTTACTCAGTTGATCCGACTTAAATAAAATTAGGATTCAATATTTTACAATCCTTTTCTTTAATCTAATAGGTCATGTCTTAGCGTTTTGAACTAAACCATCCTAGTATGCCACCGTCCCATACGGGTGCATACAATCCTCCACATCCATGTAAATTACAACACATAAATAATAGTTTAGCAATTTACAGTCCAAAACCATTATCCAAATATTTGCAGAAGAATGTCTAATATTTCAGAAATTAAAATCTATACGGCAATCCATGTAATTGTATGAAAGAATTTAATATTTCAACAATTAACATCCAGAGCATGCATAGATCAAAACCAACAAATAGATGACCCTATCATGCATTTAAAATATGTTTTATAATCATACTATATCCCATTAAATTACTAAAATTTAATTAAGCAATCAATTTGTCTTCCATCCGTTAATAGCATAAAAAGTTGTGTACTTTTTTACTGTTATATCCATTAGCCTATGGGTATAACTTATGCCATAAGAGGTTTTAATAATTCATGAAATTATATTTTAAACCCTCAGTACACTTCCTCCGTTTCTGAGAGCCCTGCTTCGATTCTGATCCGTTTCTGACCGTCTGCCTCGTCTCCGGCCAATTCTAACCCTTCTGTTCCTCCTTAATATTGAACTAAAGAGTTTTAACTACATCCAGTATCATCTATTTTTTATTTATTTTTTTAAACAATTTGTAAAAGAAAGAACTATAAAAACAATTACCGATCCAACTTTGCAAGAACTAAATAGATTAAAATTAAACACACACAGTCCAATAATCTATCATATATTAAACATGTGAGATTTATTTAATGCTCATTTAAAGTTCTAGAGATCATCTAGGTGTGCACAGAACACAAGCCAACGGGAAAGAGGAAGAAAAGAACTTGCCTGTGATTTCAGTTATGAAATCTCGGCGTCGCTTCTAAATTTCCGGCAACCAATGAATCCCTTCAAGCCTACTATGGTTCTGGTTTAATCGACCACAACACTCCCTTGGTCCTCTCTGTTCTTCTCCTTAACGGCCCTTACGGTGCCTCCGTTCTCAACCCTCTGTGTTATGAACTAACTCTCTGTTTTTCCAAAACCCTAAACCAACGTGATATTATATTTATAGGCTTAACACTAAAACCCTAATCTTTGTATAATTAGAGACAGAGCCCTAATGTAAATCTTAGTCGGCCCACAAAATAACCTATGTTATATATACGTCGGCTACATATACATGAATTTTACTGTAAAGCTATAACCGTAACTTAATTTAACACAAATTTAACAATATAATTATTACACTAATTTAATTCAATTAAAACATTTAATTAAACCAATTTACCCATTAAAAGGAATAATACTAAATTACCAAATTAACCCAAATAAGGAAAATCAATATAACAATTAAATACACAATTCAATTACAAAAAACAAGAAATCAATTAATGCAATTAAATCACAATTAAATCAAATAAATAATGAAAACAATTAAACACTTAAACAAATAAGCAAATAGTCACACAAAACTGCAAGAAAACAATAATTAAAATGCCGAAACTATCATTTTAAAATTAGGTAAAATTAGGGGTATTACAGTGCACCAAAATTTGGTAGTAGTGCAACACCAAAGAGATGTTAGGATCACTAAAGTAGTAAGTTACTCTAGTTGACCTGACCCAAAAAAATTTAGTACTACACTTAATCTTAGCGCCAAAAAGTCGAAAAAGATTAGCCAAAAGGCCGAGAAAGGTGTGATTAATATTTTTTTAGGTCAATAGTTTTATAAGAGACTTCCATATAATCCTTTATAACTTAAAACCGATGTGGGACAAGAAAAATGAATTTTATTAGGTAATTTGTAATTTAAATTAAACTCTTTAAATAATTTGTAATTGAAGCGTTTATCCAGCTCAATCCAACTCGTCCATAAACCCAAGTTAATGATCTTGAGTCAACCCCATCTTTAGTTTTTAAAGCTTGTGTTGAATTTGGACTTACAATTTCTGTTTAAATTTGGACTCCCTACTCGAGTTAGAATTTGGGTTTATGTAATAACAAATGAAGTTTGTCTAACTTTTTCGTAAATGAAATAATTGAATATATAAACGTGACATAAATAAGTTAAAATAATAAATGAATAAAAAATTAACATGTTCATTACAATTATATATACATTTATATATATGTGCGTGTGGGGTTCATATTTTGGATTTGTCTGGTTTTATAATTTGGGACGGATTCGGATTGAACTTTGGGTTGCACCACACATTAATCCAAAGCCATGTCTGAAATTAAATTGAGTTTTTAAATTTCAACCTAAGCCCGGTCCGAATTGCAATTTATAAAGTCCTTATCCAAACTTAACCTTTTAAACTTGTCATGATTCGAAGCTGAGACCGAGGCTCAACTTAATTTGATACACTTACGATCTAATCCGAAAATAAATATGAATTCTATCCTTTCTTTTTTATGCATGTCATAGACAGTTTTTTGATACCAAAATAATTGCAACTTTGATTTCATACTAATACAAAAAGAAAAATTATATATAAGTGTATCTCATCATCAAATCACCTACGAGCTCTATGTTTAGTATTATGAACTCAAAATTAAGTTTAAGAATTTATTTCAGTCACCATTGATTTGCAGAATAAAGAAAGTGAAGAGATGAAAGGTTGATAATTTAGGCTTCATGTGGGCACAATGGGGGTAGGAGTTACTTGCTAGGACAACCAAAAACAATATCACAATAAAATAGAATAAAATTAAATAAGAAAAAAAAAAATTGCAGTTCAGAATAAGGCCAACAAACAACATAATTTAACAATTTAGGAATTGCAATTCATGTTATAACATATCTACGATGTTATGTAAATTGATACGAATATAAAGCGATTATTAAATAAGTAATGATAATTCGTATAATAGGTTTAATAAATGAGTTAAGATTTTATGTAAAATAGTAACACATATTTAATTAAAAAAATGTCATTTTTAATACAAATATGACACATTTAATTACAAGACGATTTTTTAACAGGCAAACTACAGGTTCAATTAAACAACTCTAATCAAATTATAAATGCATTGGTGGTGGGTCAAATATGAGCACAACATATTCAATTAAGGTTAGCATAATTATCAAATGTAAATTCAATCATTTGGTACAATGAAAATGGAATGATAAAAGAAGGAAAATGATAAATTATGTTTGGTATAAAATGTTGGAAGGAAAATAAATGATTCGGACGGGATAGGCATGAATGGTAACTTTTGTTATCCTGTAAAAATAAAAGAAAATACTAGTATTTTTAATGAAATTTTGCTAATGCCAAATTTACTTTTGTTTTTTTAAAAAATAAAATTTACAAAAAGGACAATACTTGGGTCCTCTAATGGGAGGATGAGCTTTATCCTTCCCGCTGATATGGCCCAATACAATTTATACACGTTTCTAAATTTTTAAAATTTTTAATAATAGTTATTATCAAACTTCTAACCGGTTAAATCCAAATCCAATTTTTTTTCTTTCCCTATTTAATTTTTTTATAATCCCTTAAACCTACACCCAAATTTTTTTCTTTCTCTATTTAAAGTTTTTAGAATCCCTCGTACTGGAAGGGCAAAAGATAAATCTAAACTCTGACAAAAAAATAGATCTACCAGAAAAGTCAATTTTGACTAAGAAATAAATATACGTATATAAAACATTCTTTAAATAAATTTAGTAATTTTTCAATTTGGGCATAGAAACAATAGTATTCTTTTGGGAAAAAAAAAACTTTTGAAATTCGGTTGAACCTGTAAAAAAATGGGTAATGATTATTTTTATGAATTTTAAAATTTTAAACATTTGTCTAAATTGTATTGTACCACATAAATTGGGAGGATAAACTTTATCCTTTAGGAAGAGGACCCATATTATCCTTATAAAAATGAGTTTTTTTTATTATTATTATTATTTTTAATGGGTAAGCTTAAAAAATGAGTTTAGTTGTTAATTCATTAAAAATTTTAAACATCTCTAAATTGTATTGGGCTATATAAATAGGGAGGATAGACTTTATCCTCCAAAAAAAAAAAAAGAACCCAAGTATTGTCCTCATAAAAATAAGGGCGAATTGCAAAAAATTCCCTCGTTTTTTATCATTTTGCAAAAAAATTCCTTATGAATATCTTTATCAATTAATCCCTCTCAACTATTATGGGTCATTTTAACTAACCTCTGTTATTGTGAATGTGTGATAAAATTTTCGGACGAAATTACCCTTAAAATCAAAACAATATATTAGTATTACTAAAGTACCCACCACCAATTTTTTTTTTTTTTTTTTTTTTTTAACGGTATAAAATACTAAAACGAGGCCTTTGACTTTTTCTTTCCAAATGTTCTTGCATTTGGAATATATAGAGTAATATGGTAGTAATTTATCAAAAGTTAACTTAAATTGATTTTGGTGAAAAAAAAAAAAAAAAAAAAAAAAAAAAAAAAAAAAAAAAAAAAAACTTGCACCATAATTTTTTATAAAATAAGATAAAAGAAATAGATATATACACGAGAGATCCAAAAATATCAGTAATCATGATTTTTTATAAAATTTAAAAGTAGAAATTTATAAGATTCTAAAAAATTATAGATATAGCATACCCAAAAAAATCCAGTGCTGTTCACATAATACGAAAACAAACCCTCCCCCACTCCCCAAAACATATTTCACACTTGTTTTTTATTTTTTTATTTTTTTTTACCGTCAAAAGATATTTCACTTAAATAACAAATATTTGTTTGGACTATCTTTAATTATTTATTTATTATATAGAAAAAGCTTTTATTAGGACATAAAATTTGATTTATTTTAACATCATAAATCTTAATCCCAATACTTTTCTATTAAATTGTGATACACACACATATATAAATGAAAAAAGCCACTTCTTATTAATTATGAGATGATTTTGCAACATAGTTTGATAAATTTTTACTTTAAATTTTATAAAAAATCATGGCATATATCTCTTTCTTTATTTTATTTTATAAAAAATCACGGTACAAGTGTTTTTTTTTTTTTTTTTAAGTGAATGGTGAGTACTTTAGTAATACTAATATATTGTTTTGATTTTAAGGATAATTTCGTTCGAAATTTTTCATCACACAATCATTCAAAGGGATGTTTCATGTTAAAGGTAATTTTGTCAGAAAATTTTTCTCACATAATCACTCTAATAGAGGTTAGTTAAAATGACCCCTCATGATAATTAAGGAAATTAATTACTGAAGATATTCATAAGAGAGTTTTTTACAAATGGGTGAAAATTGAGAGGATTAAAAAAAAAATGGTTGTTAATTTATTAAAATCGTTTCCTTTATAAATTATTAAAGCTATTCTTTATTTTATTTGTTTATTTTTTCTCTCTCATCTCTCCCAGCTAATATTATCCATTATTTATTTTTTACCGTACCAAACATAACCTTATTCCTGGAATTGTGCCACCGAGTTTTGTCAAAGTATTGCCTTGTTGACCACACTAGAAAATTCAAATCATTGATCGAGCTACTACCATAACAGAAGATCTTCACCTTTTTTTTTTTCCCGAAAGGTAACAGTAATCTTCCCTAATTTTTCATCGTCCTTCTTCTTCTTTTTTAGGGGACCCACACAATCACTTCTCCCTTTCTTTCCACTCGGTAACACGTTGAAATTTTCTTCTCAATTGAACAATTTCAGCCGTCTGATTACATATTCCCTTTGACTCGGATCCCTCCCCTTTCTTTCCACTTTCCACTCTGCTTCCTGGTCAACTCCTCCAATCCATCGTTATAATCCCCCACCCCCCCTCCTCATCCCTCATCACTTTCTCTAATATCAAACTTAGAATTTCTCTACCATTCAAACAAAAAAAAAAAAACTCACAATTTCTCTATCTAGGTCTATACCTATACAGTATCATCCATGGAGCTCCAAGAAGCTGCCTCAGCCGGCTTGAAGAGTATGGAACATCTGATCCGTCTCATCTCTCACCAATCTCAACAACCCCAACCCTCAGATCATTTGATGATGAATTGCAGAGAACTCACTGATTTAACCCTCTCTAATTTCAACAAAGTCGTCTCCAATTTGAACCGGACCGGCCACGCCCGTTTCCGTCGCGGTCCGGTTTACCCTCATCCTTCTTCATCTCCTCAAACCCCAACCCTAGGTTCGGCGAGCTCCGGTCAAAATCAGAGTCAGGCGTTGACTCTGGACTTCACAAAACCTAATCCGACGAGTTCAGATAAGCCTGACAGCGCCGAGATGGTGGTTTCAGCGAGTCAACTCACAAAGGAGACTACTTTGAGCATGTCCTCGACAAACTCGTCGATGTTCATGTCGTCGATCACCGGCGAGGGGAGCGTATCGAACGGGAAGCTAGGATCGTCATTCTTCTTGGCGGCTCCTGAACCGGCCGTTTCCGGCGGGAAACCACCGCTCTCGGCGTCGCATAAGAGGTGTCGCGATGATCACTCACAAGACGTCTCCGGCAAAACGTCCGGCTCAAGCAGCTATCACTGCTCTAAGAAGAGGTATGTGGTGTTTTCACCTCCGCATTTAAATACAAAAATGTTCAGAAAACTATATATATTTAATTATTTAGAGGAATTGTCTTTTATTACTCTTCAAATTAAATATAATTAAATTATGTGTTTATTAATTTCAGGAAATCGCGGGTGAAGAAAACAATCAGAATCCCGGCAATTAGTTCGAAAGTCGCCGACATTCCTCCGGATGAATACTCGTGGAGGAAGTACGGCCAAAAGCCAATCAAAGGATCGCCATACCCACGGTAATACACAACTACCACTACTATATGGTCAATCGCCATCTGACCGTTGGTTTTGTTATAAATTTGATCATGCGTATCTGACCGTGTGATTTTGTTATTTCAGGGGCTATTATAAGTGCAGTAGCGTGAGAGGATGTCCCGCGAGGAAACACGTGGAGAGGGCCAAAGATGATCCGGCGATGCTGGTAGTCACGTACGAGGGGGAGCATCGTCACTCACAACCTGCGAAGCAGGAGAATGTGGCCCTAGATCTAGGACTCGTGCTCGAGTCAACTTAAAATAAAGTGGAAAAAAATTAGAAAAGCAAAAAGTAGGGCTTCCAACCAATGGAAATTTTGGAAGGAATAGACGGCATAATAGGACAAGTAATTGTTTAGATAATTAGATTCTCAATGTAATCATCTGATTAATTTTATTCAATTTTAACTGTTTAAGATTCGTTCTGTCTGCTTTTTGCTTTAATATGATAGTCAATGTTGATAATTGAAATGGTACTGTTGGAAGTTTGAACAGCTCGAACGTGACTCTTGGTCTATATGTTTACTTTATTATTTTTTTTGGTGACTTGGTTGCTTTGAGAAAAGTCTTCATTTAGGATGCTGACTATAAAATAAAATAAAAAAATACTTTGACAATCAAATATATGGGTAAGTTGACTAAATTTAATTAAACGAGTCTAAATGCACAACTCTTGGATTCCCACCCCACTTATCAATTGAGTCCATAAATGGAGATTTATGGGCGAAAAGTCTCAAAATAAATGTCATGTCTGAAATACTCTCTGTTCCATAATAGATGGACAGTTCCTAAGGAAGAAGTAATTATTTACTTCACTTTTTAAAACAATATTTTTCGTATTTATATATGTTATTTTAATTTTAAATTTTAAACTTGAATGTTTAAAATTAAAAAAAACAATTTAGCTACTTTTTAGGGAGACAATGCATATCCCACATATCTCCTTAAAAATTACTATTTCCTAAAAGCGACACTTAAATTGAGACCGTCTTAAAAATTACTATTTTTTAAAATCGACACTTAAATTAAGACGGAGGGAATAATAAACATGTCCAAACTCTAAATCATAAATTTTTTCTAATTATTTTTTTAACAAGATTAAACAAATCATTTTGGAACAACCTTTTGAGTACTTTGATTTTACTTTTTTTTTTTTTTTTTTTTTTAATATCATTATGAAAGATTCAAAAAAATAATAACTTTAACTAAATAAAATTACACTGGTTCTATAGCTTTAGTAACTGATACAAAAAATTAATAGCCATATGATTTGTCATTTACCAAGTGACACTTATAACTATTAATGTATAGGGAAATAATATTATTGACTACTTTAATACCCCAACTTAAAACAGACAGAATTAAAAATATGACGTGTTATTATAAAATTTCAACTTATATAAATATCATTACTATTCTTGTTTGTTTCCATAAAATACGTAATTTTCATTTCTTTATCTTCTCAGTTTCCATAATTCCTTTTTCTTATCTTTTCAGTTTTCCATAATGGTATCATCTTTTTTTTTTGTTTTCAAAGCAACTTTCATGATACTCAAATATAAGAATTTGATTGGTACAAAATTTAGAACAAAAACCGCAAATTTTTTCAAATTTTCAATGCTTTGCAATTTTTCTATAAATTCCTTTCTTTATTTTTGTTTATGGAGTTACATAAATCATTAGTTTTGATCATTTTAGTAATGAACAAATGCCTATCCAATTAGATGCAATCTTAAGTATCTATGCCTTAGAAAGATAGAATGTGATGTACACATAAAACACATATATAATTTGATATATACGGTAATTGAAACTTTCATTGTCAATAAAGATACTATATTAAGATGAAATATAAAAAATGTACTATAAATTTTCAAATAGCTAATTACTTGATCTTATTATATTTGACACACAGGTAGCCGCGGAGACTCAGTGAAGTAGTAGGTTTTTATTTTTTGGAGTAAATAGGAATACTCTTTTATTGGATACGGATTCTCTCATGGGGACATCTCTCTCCTGCTATCTCCAAAACTAATATGAAAGCTAATATTAAGACAAGTCATTTGCCACATCTCCCTCTCCCTCTTTTTCTCTCTCTCTTTAAGTCTTATATATATATACAAGACCAAAATTTTCTCTTTCCTTTCAGTAACTTTCATGTAATTAACCTATCCATAACCTACCCTTTCTCTTAGATCGTGAATCTTCTTTGGATATTGCGCTCCTGATTTTGTATCATCTTCAAAACCAATTATTGAGGTTTTAGGTTTTGCTCAGTTCATCATGGAATAATCATAAATATATGTCGAGTTAAAAAAAAAATCGGAACAAATTAATAAACCAATAAATCAATCAAGGAATCCATTGGGTCTCTTTGAAAATTAATTAAGGTTTTAGATTTTGCACCATCTATTATTATTATTATTATTGTTTCCAGGCACAAGTTATTAAAAAGGGAAGAAAAAAAATTTGGTTTTAGTATCTAAGATTTAGAGAGAGAGAGAGAGAGGTTGAGAGGATAAGGAAGGGGAGATGTAACAAATGATGTGTCTTAATGAATGACGTGTCTTAATATTAAAATTCAGATTAGTTTTGAAGAGAGCAGGATAAAGATGTCCCAAGGAGATGATCCCTAATTTTATTTGTCGGGGTAAATAGGAGCACTCTAATATGTACAATATCATTTATTGTGGTTGTTCGCGTTTTGTCATTTATGTCTTCCTTTCTAATGAATCAAAAACTCGCAAATGGTTATTTGTATATAATTTTAGATATTTTAATTATAGAAACCGCAAGACTAAAATGTGTGACAAAAAGAAAAAACAAGTGAATGCATTTTTATTAAAAATGAGGGACATCAATGTATATGTAAATGAAGTAATGATGATTGTACTACATTGGTAATAATAAAAAATTATGTTACACTTGATTTCCTATAGTGACAATGGGAAAGAATTTATGGAATGGTTATATTGGCATGAAATTGAGCATTTATATAGGTTATACCTAAGGAAGATGGACTATGCTACATCTTTAGATTAATGTAGTTAGGTAAATGGTCCATACCTACTGAACATAATCTATGATATTTAATTAATTTCATGTGTTGCAACATACAATTGAAGGACCTTGATAGGCCATGCCTAGGGAAGATGGTTCATACCACAACCTAGTTTAGGTGGTTGAACCAATATATATATTTTTGGAAGGTATGTTTCATAAGATTTGAGTTTTCAAGAGTACGACTAAAAATGGTCAATGTTAAAATTTTATATAAGTTTAAAAAAAATACAAGTAAAATTAATTTTCAAACTCTATATTTTGAGACAACCCTTTGGCTTCGCGTCTAATCACACGTTCATTTATGAGATGTCTCATATCTTTTTGAAAATAAAAAATATAATTAAATAAAAAAATTTAAGACAAAATTGCCCTTTAACTATTTTTTCTCTCTTAATTGATGGTATATGCATATACCATATAAGTTTTTATTTCTATTTTTTTTCGATGTACATGTATATATATAATATATAATATGTGCCCTTTTATATATATATATATACACACACATATCACTTGTTATTGATATATATAATTATATATATAGTTAGAATATAATTAGAAAAAAGGAAAGAAAATAATCCATTACCATAATATTACTCCAAAGAGAGAGAAAATAATATATCTCCAAATAATTTTTTTTTTTTTTGGCAATTAAGAATGTTATTGATATATATATATATATATATATATATATATATATATATATATATAAGTGTGTGTGAGTATTTGTATATGTATATATATTGGGATAAAACTGAGGAAAAAGAAGAAAAGGGAAGAGAGGTGAAAGAGTTAAAAGAGCAATTGTCTTAAAAGTTTATATTTTAAATTTCTATAAAGATGGGAGACATTTCATAAATGACCGTGCTTAAAATTTTGAGCCGGTGTGTGACCCCCTTCTCCCTAATTTCTCAAAATAAAAATTATTTAAAAAATAAAATAAAAATCTCAATAGACATGATCAGCAATTTGGGAGCGATTTTTTGGAGAGAGAAGTGAGAGATGGAAGGGAACTTGAGAGAAAAAAAAAAAAAAAAAATCTGAGTTTTACACCTATTCACTAACAAAATAAAATAAATCATTAATTTTTTCCCTTCATTGTTCTCAAACACATGCTGATCTTTCCTTTTTAAGAACTCATATCCTGTCATACGTCCTTCCATTTTACATTGCTTATACATAAACTATGTTACATTGTTATTTTATTATATTGTAAGTAGTTATTTTGTTGATTAAGGGAGAGGGAGATTCAAAATCTTGTAAAGAGACTGATTAAAATTAGAGTTATACTTTTAATGCTTTTGTTATTTTGATATGACATGATATCAATAATTAATTTAATGATAATATGTAGTGATAGGACCACTAAATAAATATATTTTTGTAATGTAATATAATAGGATTTTTTTTTTTTTTTTTTTTTTTTTTTTTTTTTTTTTTTTAAGTCCTATAATTTTGCATAGGTTTTGACATCTATTTCTTTGTTTTTAAAAAAAAATTAGAGATCGATACTATTTTTAGATATTTCGTTAGTCCACTAAACATTGTTAATGTTAAGAGCCCATTTTTTTTCTAAATTCTAAAGCTACCCTTAATATATTTTCTTCCAAATTACCCTAGCCGACAATTAAAACCCTACCTCTCTATTTTTGTCTCTCTCTATTTAACTCTGATCAAACTGCAAACAATTGTCGTTTTTTTTCCCACGTCATATACTCATTATATATTTGCTTCTTGCTTTTTCATGGAGTCATATTTCTTAATCTATGTAAAAAGAAAAAAAAGGCTGTAAAGAAATTTTCTGTGATGTTTCTTCAATTACTCAGGCTATCAGTTCATTTTGACCACCTTGAGTTTAATGACCATAAGAGCAGCTGAAGTAACGTAAAGGACAGAAGGAGCTGCTGAAGTTGTCATGGGGAATAAGAATATTGTGGTGTGCTGTTAAATAGATTCTGTGTGGAACAAAGATATGATTTTTTTTTTTTTTTTTTTTTTTTTCACAACTCAATCGGGTTTTTATCTCGCCTTATCTCAATATTTTATCCGAGACTAAGAAGCAAATTAAGATAATTTAGCAAAGAGTAACGATACAGTAACACTCAATGAACACCGAAATAGACGTGGCAAAGATTCTCTTATTCACGTTTTTAATCCAAATTGTTGTCCTTGTATTTATTACTTACCCCACTTGCCCTTATTTTTATTGCATAACCCACTTCTTCGAGCTCTCAAATTTTATCAAATCTCTTTCCAAAATTATCTTCCTTATGTATCATATTGGAAATCTTTGAACTACTTAATTTTTTTCTTTTGTCTTCTCTCTTCGAATAAGACCAGACTAAGTTAATAAGCCACCATGATATAGACTAATAGATATATTTTGATGAAATTTAGAAATTAGGGTTTATGTGCAAGATCTTAGAGAGAGATGGATAAATTTTTAAAGAGAAAAAATGATTGCAGAGGAAGAAAATTTAGACCTAAATCCTATAAAGTAAAAATAAAGAAAATTTTCATAGAGAAAGAGAGGAGATGGGTAAATTTTTAAATAGAGAAAAAGTTACTAAATTTGAGAGATGGAAAAGAGAGAATTCAGACCTAAACCCAAATTTGAGAGAGAGTGATGAGGATGTCAATTAGAGAGAATTGGGTGAAATGTGAACAATTTGAGAGAGTTGAGTGAACTGTGAACAATTTGAGCGGGGAGGAGTAAATCGTAGAGAGAGAAAAATGAAGGATATGAAAAGAAGATTAGACTAAACATAAGGGTTTCTTTATCATTTGCATAATCAATTTTTTTTCCAGGGAGCTTTAAGTAGTTTTGAAATTTTATAAAAAGACCTCTTAACCGTAAGGGTGTTTAATGGACCATTTGTTGACTAATAGAAATTCTCTAAAATTAGGATCAATTTCTAATAGGTTTTTATAAAAAAATCAATGTCAAAACTTATATGAAATTATGAGACTTTAATAAAAAAAATACTCAACATAATATAATGGATCAATAATAGTGATGACCTTGTCATGAATTTTACACATTTAACTGATAAATTAAAAATATATTAGATAATTCAATCGATTTTTAAAATATATATATATATTTTAAAAAAGTGTCTATATTGTGCGATTAAATGTGAATAAATGTAAAGTGTCCTCTCTTAAATACATTACTCTTGAAATTATAATATCCTCCTTGACAGATTTATTTTTTCCCTCTCATAACCAACATTATCATGTCTTTTTTTGAGTCATTTTAACATTATTCCACTAGTGGACCAAAATTTGACCATTTAATCATGTACGCCAATACACACAAATAACAATAGTCCAACACCAGTTACACCACACCACTAATGGCGGCGGTTCTACATGTACCCAGCTGTTGTTGTATCAGTAGTCAATCGAGACAATCCATTGCCCACTTATTAATCAGTAGTACGCTTAATCTTAGGGTTTCTTGGATTGGAGGTGTCTTCTGCGGTTTGAGCCCTCGCCACTCCTCCGCCCGAATGAGTAGCTCCCCCTCCTTGACCGCCGCCGCCGCCGCAACGGCCGTTGAAGCAGATGGCAGTCCCGCCCCGGTTGACGACGTGTTGGTACAGTATATAGTTCTCCGGCGTGATCTCATCGACACCTGGCCGCTGGGGAGCGTTGTCACACAGGGTTGCCATGCCTCCGTATCCGCCATTTGGTCTCACAAGGACGATCCTCACACTCTCGCCTACTGTAGCCCCACAAATCTCGATTCAATGCACAAGGCATGTGTGTGTATATATATATATCACCGTTGTCTTGATTATATATAATTTTGTATCAATATTATTCGATTTTATAGTAATTGATTGAACAAATCGTGAAACTCAAACCAAACCTTTATTAATTGGCAATTTAATTTCATTTATGCAGGTTACTCTTGAAGTAAAGGGAGAACCACAGATATTGAACTTGTCTGAAAAGCTCAAAGCTGCCGGGATTGCTCATAAGCTCTGGATCGAGCAACCTGAGAACATTCCCACATGCCTTGCCACAAAGCCCTACCCCAAATCCATTGTTTCATCATTTTTCAAGAAGTTGAAACTATGTAAGTGATGGATTGTATTAATTTTGTAGTGCAAAATCACTTTTAGTTTCATCTTTGATTAATTGTTCAAATAAAATGCTTAATTTATAGATATATTTGGGAAGACTACATTGTTTTTTCTTCTTTCTGTCTTCTCCTTTTGTTGATTCATGCAAAAGCTGGTGTTTCAAGTTGGGGGAAAGAATAATGCATTGTGAATTAATAAACTACATCCTCTCCTGTATTACAAAATGTTATCATGATTGTTGAGCCAATTTATGCCAAAGACATTCTACCAATTCAGTAGATCCCTCACCTTTATATTAAAATGTGCAATGAAATGGATTTATGGATTTTGGACACTCGGTGATGATTCAACCCTCCTCTGCTTTATTAGTATCGTTGATCAACGAAGTACACTATATTTATAGGTACATGTGATTTTAGAAATCAATGACTACATTGGCTTTTCATAAAAAATAAAAAAAATAAAAAAATCAGAGGAATGATGGAGGACCAACAAGCCATGAATTTTTTGTTTAGAAAAAACTATAATAATAAAACCGTACATGTTATTTGTGTCCTTCATTGTATTTGTAGCACTTCCAACTTTACCCAAGTCAGTTATTATTATTTTTTATCTTTTGTCATCCTTGCACACAACTAAGCCATCTTACATTATATCTTCTTGTATCACCCTCATTTGGCGTCATCTCTAGTTTGTATGTAATTTTGATATTTTTTGAAACTCTAGGAGAGATAATATTGCCCTGATTAATTTCACACCCTTGGCATTCATAGGGATCAAGTTTTTCAGATAAATGTGTCATGTTGAAATATATTAACTAATCAATCAATAAGTTGATATGGAGTTAAATCACCTATCCGCACCTGATTAGACATGGTATTTCTGCATTTTTAAAATCTCCAGTTAAACAAGACAATTCTTTTGAGCTATATTTCTTAATTTCTTGGAACGTACGACTAATGCTAGAGTATTAATTGTTTTGAACATTATGAAAGACATCATTTATAGTAAATCTTGTTGAACTACTGAATTAAAACATGTCCTGTAAGGCTGTTATCATTCTATTTATAGTTTTGATTATAGCTTTTATTTTTTAGTAAAATATTATTATCAGCTATTGTCCAAACTCAGTCTTATTTTTTATTTTTATTTTTATTTCAGTGTACTAGAGTTTACATTTTTGTTTTTTGATAAGTACTAGAGTTTACATCTTGTAATGCAGTTTTCCTAGTTTTCTCAAATATCCACTTTATTTATTGCAAGCATACTATTTTAACCATCCTTCTGATTAGTGTATCAATTTAATCCCTTTACTGCCAATCTTTTCAATATTTTAAGTCACCGTTCTAAGCTTCCCATCTTGAAGCTGTTTCTTTACTGCAATTGTGCATTTATTAGAATTAACTATCAGTTTTCCTTACCTTCTTTCTTATAAAAAGGAACATCATAGAGTAATGAATTGAAATCTAATCAAGTAGAATTTTCTAAAGAAAATGAATAAGAAAAGTGCCTTATGATGTCAATAGGTCAAGTTGTATAGAAGTTATATGTTGCTTAATTGAATTAAATTTGAAGGCCTTTTTTTTATCTAGCATGGTCTCTAAATTACAGTGTGTTCAAACGGCCCTTGTTTGGATAAATCAAAAACAAGGAAGGGCTAAAGGAGATTTTTCAGAGGGCTAAAATCACAGCTTAAAATAATAAAAATAACTAGACTTCTTTGCATTTTCATTTTTTTCTGTCCTTGTTACTATTTCTCTCTCTGCTACCATCTTCCCACATCTCTCTCTTCCTTCCCATTTTCGCATCTCTTTCTTCATATTTTTCACATCTCTATATTCCTTCCTTGAACTCCCATGTTTCTCACTCTGCATAGAATCCAGTCGCGTGTATCCATTTCTCACTTGCCACTATATCCTACTAATATACATCTGTTTCTAGTGCTGCAGCTAGGTTCCTGCATCTCTGATCCATAGTATGTGATGGTAGCCAATGCCACATGAGCAAAGCGGATTAAATGATTTTTATATCCATCCTAATGACACTTGAATATATTGAGTAGAAACAGATGTTTAAGTAAACATGATGGATGAGTTTCATCTTAAAGAAAGCAAGAAAACATAGGAAAATAGCATTAAGAAGATAAGAGAAAAATTCAAAATGAGAAAAAATGGTAAATAATCAATCTTGAAATAAATAAAAAATGTTAAAAAGCCAGGCAGCAAGGGAGAAAAGGAGGTCTAGACTTGTCAGTTTAAATAATTTATATACCAACATAGTCAGGGCATGCCCAATGCATCTTGAAATTGTAGTTGGAGATTTAACATTTTGTTATTTATTGATGTGTGTTATAAGATGCAGCAAAGATGGATTAGGAAATTATATAAAGAGAGGTTTTTAAATGTCATTGTAATTATAGTGAGTGAGATATAATTGGGAAAAGTGTGTCACTTATGCGTGCAATAGCACAAGTTCAGCAATAAAGTCTGAACTTACGGATTTGAATACGAGTGTAATCGTTTTGTGCATAGTATTACCCTCCCAGTATCTTGCATTGGCGGGACTATTACAGGTAAAAGTCTATAAATATTATGCCAAAGAAATATTTTGCAATGGCTGTTTTAGAAAACCATTGCTTTGAGTGTTCTAATCAGGGTGGGCTTGTCCCACCAACTATTTAGCCAGAGAAACTCCAGTCAATTTGCAAATAACCATCATGTTAGATTTTCCCCCATTTATGAGGGTTTCAATTAGAGTAAAGTAATTGAGGAAGATGTTCAATCACACGTATGTGCACTTATCACCTTTATGTTTGCATCCTTTTCTAGTATTTTTTTATCGAACTTTATCAATAATAATAATACTAATAAATAAAAGAAGAAAAAAGATAAGAAAATCCAAGGTTTTAAGGCGTCGAATTGGCTTGCCCTGTTCATGTTATATAAATTACATAGTTCTCTTCTTTCTGTGAACTGCATATTCTGTAACAGAAACTCTCATCTTAGTACTACAATTACACAAATCCAGGAGTCTATTGAATGCCACTCTGATTGCTCCAATCACAGGTGGCCTTGCATGAACCAATTATGCGTTCAGAGAGGCAGTCATTTGTGTATGACTGTTGCATTGAATTTCTTTTCCTTTATAATGAGGGTTTTGATTAGAGGGGGAAAGAGGAAGATGTTAATGCACACATCCGTATGCATACAGTGTCATGGTGGCATTGGTGTTCACGTCGTTTTCATAATTTGTTGCTTCGAACATTAACAGACAAAAAAAAAAAATACTTGCTGCATCGAATTGGTGTCACCTGTGCTATTCATATGAGCATCATGGGACTTTATTCTAGACTATGTAACCACACTCTGATCCTAGTGCTATTATTTCAAAATACTCTGTACTTGCAAACCATAAATTCTGTTTGAAGTAGTCTGTGTTCTGTTGCTGACACTGGGAAATATATTCAACCATTTTCTAAGTTGATTATGAGAATTTCATTTCGATATTCTTTTGCTTTTTGCAAGTGATCCTTGAAATGATATGGTCATGCTCTATTATTGCTATTTGTTTCATAATCCTTCTACCTTCACTATATGGACTGATTTGCTGAGGAAACAAGCATCTGTTGTTCAACAACTGGTGGATGATTGGATATGTAGGGCTATGCAGCCTATGCAATTATATGGTCTTAGTGGAAAGAAATGAATAGAACAATTCCAAATTGCAAATTTTGTGGCTTGTTAGCTTTTAAGTCATGAATTTAGGTGATCATTAGATAATCTGAATGGTGCACAAAAGTCTGTCAAAAGACCATGCTATCATAAGATTCATTTCATGTGTTAAAGCTTGGACCTCTCTACCATACAGGAAGTACATCATTCAATACATAAATTTTCATGTCCATTGAATGTGTGTGGGTAGACCATTTCTTGAATGGACCGAGACTTTCTAATGAGGGGTTGTTACTGGCTTATTGCACTATCTAATGGAGTGTTACCATTTGAGCTTGTGCTGTCTAATTTTATTATTAAGAAGAAATTCAATAAATCATGATTTCTTGAAAATTAAAAAGTAAATATTTTTTTGATATCTTTTTGAATTTTCAGTGATGAAAGGGGCCCTCCTTTCATCACGGCCCAAATAATGACCCATTGAAGTTTAGTTCAGGATTGAGAGTTTTGTGAGAGGTTTAGGGCAAATGTATATTTTTATAAATAGAAGTTAGAGATATGGATTGTAGGGGTGGCAAATTACGACAACATGATACGAGTGAGTTTGACATAAACGGGTTTGGGTCATAAAAGGGTCGACACGATTTACTCGTTTACTTAACCGTGTCGGGTTAGGGTTGAGGGATTTAACCTGTTTATGACCCATTTAACTTTTTATTTGATAAAAAGTCATTAAAAGTGTTAACACGTTTATCTGTTTAATAAACGGGTTGGGTGACACACATTTACTTGTTTAATAAATGGGTTGGGTGACACGATTATTAAATGAGTTGGGGGTTGGGTTTACCTATTTAGTATAATAGGTTACATCGCGAACACAAATTGCCAACCCTAAGGCCTCATTTGGATTGAGGGATTTAGAAGGATTTGGAGAGAAAAGAAAGGGAAGGATAGTGTTAAGTGTGTTTGGATAGAGGGAATAGAAGAGAAAAGAAAGGATTGGGAAGGATTTGGAGGGATAACCTATCCCTCCAAATCCTTCCAACATAGTAAAACTAAATCCTTCCAATTTTGAGAAGATTTGAGGGGAAAGGAAACAATTTAAGTATAATTTTCATTAAAAACAAAATTAGCCTTCCAAATTCTATACACAAAATTTATATTACATTCAAGTTCTAGGTAAATAATATTAGGGCGCAGCTTCTCTATCTCTTCTTCTCTCGCATCTGCAAATCGGAATTGCCGCTTCTCTATCTCCTCTTCTCTCACGTCTCCGGCTTCGGCTCTTCTCCAGCTCTGGCTTCGCCTCTTCTCCAGCTCCGACATTCAGGTCAGAGTTTTGCTATCTTTGAATCAATTTTTGGATTTCAGTTAGTGGATTAAGTTCCTATCTCTGTTAAGTTCTTATTTTAATCATAAAGCTAACATCAGGACTTACTTCCATATAAGTTCAGGAGATTATTAGTCAAGTCAAAAGATTTATTTGTAAGAAAAATAAATAGATCAGAGGTGTTTTTGCATTTTACCTTTCCGTATATCTTAATATTTGTTTTCATATGACATAAGTTGAAATCATTTGCTGTTGAAAGATGAATATTATACAAATTTAGTGAAAATGATACTCTCTGTAAATTATTTTCAGGTTTAAATTATTTAGACTAATATTAGCTTTTGCTTCTGTTGGGAAAATGGATTTGTTGTTTCTATTATTACCATCTAGTTCTACTAAGGTTTGTATCTGTTGTTGTTTGTTGATTTGGTAGAGTTGCAATTAAAATGATAATCATGTAGTAAAACGGTAATTTGATAATGGTATTAATGAAAATATGAAATACTGAACTCACAATATTGAATATTAGGCACGATTTCTAAATATTGAGCTCTGAGTCTTTCATTGTGATTTGATTGGCTATGAGCATCAACCATGTCATGAAAGTTTACTGTTTTGATCCTCCACCTTAAGCCGTAGAGCCTCCAACCTTCGTCAACTCATCTCAAATACCAAAACACCAGCATTGAGCTATTGAGATATTACTGAATACCCAATGACAGGAGTATAAAGGCATTGAAAGGGTAATGAAATCTCTAATGATGTCATTGGTGAATTTGACAAGTTTTCTACAAGTTAGATTCACAGATTATTCTGAAAGATGATTCTTCCTCTAAAACTGGGTTTGAGGACCATTTTCTCTGTTGTGGGAGAACTGTTTGGCAGGCATGTATTTAAAACACTGATAGGTTTTAAATGGCTTTTCGTTGGTGCATTCTGTACTGAAAAAAAAATCAACTCTCTAGAACTTGCTTGTGCTTTCTTTCCAGGAGGTGTACCCAGATAAGTAAAGGATTACTGGTTGAATAATGTATTCAAAATTCCATATTTTAGGCATACTCTTGTTCTTATAAGTATATTTTCTTGCCAAACAGGATGTTTTCTGGTGCTGGTGTGAACATTATAGTACTGATATATCTTGCTAAGATGGCATTGGCCACATATGTGGTTGTGCACTAAGTCACACAAATGTTTTGGGATATAAAAATAAAAAGTTGGGAGGTCCTTTCACTCACTCAGTTCACAAAACAAATCCAGCAGAGTATTTTATAAGATTAGTGTGACTGAAGCAGTTAGTAATCAGTTAGTAATCCTTGTTCAACTACATGGATTCAGAACTATCTAATACTAAGTTTGCATTTTTTGTTTGCATTTTTTTTCTGGTTATTAATATATCATTTTGCATTTTACAATTTTAGATGGACAAACAACAAAATGAGATACTGCATTTCCATTTTATGTGGGTACAAAGACGACGTCAAATTGCAACTCTAGTCATTCTCCTTGCCGTGTGTTGGTTTATGCGTTGAAAACGTAGAAACTATGTAGATAAACCTATTACAAAATCAGAGATTGAAAGACAAAATAACACGGGATAAACTAATGAACGAGCTTAGGGTAAGTGAGAAATTTTGTAACATTACTCGTACGGGACCTGAAGCTTTTCCAAATTTCTGTGAGATGCTTATAAGAGATGGTGGTCTTCGACCCACAAAACGTGCAAGTGCTGAAGAGCAAGTTGCCAAATTTCTTCACATTATATCACACAATGTGAGGAATCGGACAATGTCATTTTTCTTTTGTCGCTCTGGTGAAACCATAAGCCGTCATTTTCATAGTGTGTTAAAAGCAGTAATCTCATTGGAAGGATAGTTCAACCTTCGACATGCATCACTGCGCAATGTTATTGAGAATTTTCGGTGTGTTGAAGAAATGATTTCCTATCATAGGAAGCGGTACCGAACCACCATATGATGTTAAAACTCAAGTTGATATCATTTTAGCTTATTGCATCATACACAATTATTTAATGGGCATGGATCCGGATGAAAGCCTTATTAATGAAGTAGATCGGGAGCTCTTAAATGAAACTCGAAATGAAGAGCGTGGTCCAATGGAGAGAAGTGAGGATCATAGTTTGGGGGAATACTTGAGAGATTCAATAGCTTCCCATATGTGGCATGACTATGTAGCTAATCATGTGTGATACTTGAAATGTTTATTTTGTTGCAATAACTTAAAATTTATTTGCTTTTGTTTAATTTTTCTGTAACTTCTTTTATGTTAGAGTGCTTGATTTGGAGATGTAGAATGCTAATTATAGATTGTTATAAACTCCTACCTTGCATACAGTTTTTGTTTACCTTTAATTGAATGATTTATCTTTTTGTTCATTTCTTTGTATTGTACTTGTTTTTATGTAAATATAAGAATGAGTAATCAATCAAACATAAGTGGTGGGTCGAAGAGGGATAGATGTGTTTGGACTGCACAAATGGATGATATTTTTGTAGATGCATTGCATAATCAATTTGTGAAGGGGAATATGATTGATGGCACATTTACAACAAAAGCTTATAATGAGATTGTTCACGAATTGAAAGAAAGACTAGGTATCGATATCAACAAAGATAAAGTGAAGAATCGGTTGAAAACAATTAAGAAAATATTTAACGAGTGTTTTAACTTATTCAAAACTGGTTTGAGTGGGTTTGCTTGGAGTGAAGCAACAAAAATGTGGTATGCTGAACCTGAAGTTTGGGCTTCTTTAATTAAGGTTAGTTTTTTAATTGAGATTATTTATTTATTTATTCTTTTAAGAGATATATTTATTATGCCTTTGTTTCAACCTGAAATAGTGATAATGTATTTTTTTTATGTTTCTCCAACAGTCAAATCCAACAGTTGAGAAATGGAAGACTACTCCAATTTCCAACTATGATAAGTTGCTGGATTTATTTGGCAAGGATAGAGCAACTGGGTTTAATGCAGCAACTGCTGAGGAGAAGATTAATGATTGGGCAACAAAAGGAAAAGAGAAGAGTAATGAAAGGGAGTCAAGTCCTAATGATGATCTGATGGAGACCATTGATTGTATTGATCACATGGTGTCACGGAAAGAAGTAAGTTTGGATAATACATTTTTTATGGATCATGAGTTTGAAAATGTGAATATGATGTCTTCTGAAACACCTTCAAGTGTACCTTCCCATTCCACTTCTTTAAAAGGAAAAAGAAAAAGAAATTATTCGACCGTTGATGGAGATAATGAAATAATTGAAGTAGTGAGAGGTGTGGCTGGAGCTCTTAAAGAGGGAAATGATCTTCATAAAACATTCAATAATCTTTATGAGAAGTTCAACCATATTTATGAGAAGTGCAACCAAAAGGGAAAATATGAAGAAGAAATCTTTAAGATTTTGGCGGAAATTGGACTAGAGGGGCATGCAATTGTTAAGGCCTTCATTTTTCTGACTAAGCATGACCATCCTGATAGAATGACACAATTTCTTGGTTGCCCACCTGTGCTTCGCAAGACACTTCTGGAGGAACTGATGTCCAATGATTCTTGATGTTGATAATGATTTCGGTTATACTGACTTTTGACAATGTATTTTAAGTTGGTAATATTTTGGTACAATTAGTAGAACTTTGTATTATGTCGAAGTTTAGTTATATATATATTTTTAATTTTTTGTTATGGAGTTTTTAGTATGTAAACTCTATGATGTAACCAATGGTTGATGTTGTTAGTGTTTACTGTAGGTGTGTTGATTGTTGCTAGCTTGAATGTCTCTCTTTTCATTTTTTTTTTTCTTTTTTTTTTATATATTTTTAATTTTTTTATGGAGCTTGACATTAAATTTGATGATGTTTCAACAGTGTTATTTCTTAATGTATTTGATTGTAAGATTGATTCTGAAGGGAAAGCAAGGAGGGTGGTTGGTTGTTCTTGTGTTGTTGAGGATTACAGGGCAGAAACTCAGGGTCTTCACATAGTTCATGAGTATGTGAAATCTCATTAAGCTTACCGCAAAGAATGATGATCTTTTTCATTGAGGGGTTTTTTCTTTAGTTAGTTTTGAGCTGTTTTTATCTTCTTTTCTAGAGATATTATATAAGGGTGCATGGGAACACTTTTTATTTATCATCCTGAGAAAGAGAGAACGTGTTGCAGAAATGCTTGCAAAGGTAGTGCTTATATTTTCAAGTTGTCTTTATTTTGAATCTTTTGTTTGTAGATATGGATTTGGGCCCTTTAATCTAAATTAAATCCACTGTTTAATGGAACTTTAGGATCCAGAATTAGATTGTTAGAATGTTAGTGACATTCTGACCAATTTACAAAAGGGTAACACAATAATTTAATTATTATCTGTTTTTTTCTCTCCTCCGTTTTATCCGAACAAGAATATTATATTTTTCTTTATCCAAACAAGAATATAAATTATACCCATCTTTTCCTTTCTTTTTTCTCCTCCGTAACCAAACGAAGCCTAATGGATTGTGTGAAGTGTAAAAGATTTCTTTCGTAATAGAGAGATTAATTATTATTCTGAATCACCGGTACATTCAGAATCACCACGAGGATCAGTAAGATAAAAGACAAATTCTTTATTGCTCATCTTCAGAAGCTATTCTGTTTCGTTCCTTACATGCATACCAAATGTACTGACCGATAAACAATTCACATAGCTGCCGAAAACTTGATATCGATCCCTGTGGCCGGCCCATGAACCAATGGAGGGCTGGCCCTGTTAGAGTGGTGGGGAATACCATGCACATCAGCCTATCATTCACCGTATTGAACACCTCTTCTGGTCCACGTGATAGGTGTGCTCCACCGGGTCTCCGGTCCCGTCGTAGGGCGTGAAGTCGGGCATTACGAACTTCTTTGGCATCTCCAATTGCAAGATCTCATCGGTGAACGGTGACTTCCACCATCTTATTTGTGCTGCCAAATCATGGGGTGTACCGTTCTTTGGCCCTTTCGACTGTCATCTTATTTGTGCTGCCAAGTCATGGGGTGTACCCTTCTTTGGCCCTTTCGACTGGGCTGCTTGTTCTACTCGTTCGACCCTTGCCCGAAGTTAATCAATTTCTCGGCGGAGGACATCATTTTGTTGCTGAAGCTCTTTGATTTCTTCTTGTGCTTTGGTCATGGCTAGGAATACGCTTTTGCAATGGAACAGTCGCAAATTAACAAAGAAAAAGAGACCAGAAAAACTTGGAATTTTACTTTCCGAAAAAAAAAAAACAAAAAACTTGGAATTTTATTGGGGGCAGTGTGGTTAGGTTAAAACCCTAGGAGAGAGAGTCCTTTTTAGGTGTGGAACGGACTTCTTCTGGGCCGATGAACCTGCTCTTATGAATCACCTCCTTCATATTAGCCCGTAATGCAGAATCGGACCAGGACCTCACGCGTTCGGCTTTCCTCTCATGGACTGGGCCGGCCTTGTCCGGTCTTTGTTACCAAGCTTCCAATTGGATATGTCCAGCTAAGATTGGGCATCCACACAGGTGTCAAGTTTTTCTTTGAGGGGGATTTTTTTTTTTTAATATATTTTTTCGAGTTTCCAGTGTTTTGCATTCAGTGTGCATGGTGCTTATCATTTTCAGCGATATTTAAATTGCCTTATCATTTTCAGCGATACATAAATTACGTTATCTCTTAATGGGATAAACTACACTTATTCCGTTCAACATTAAGGCCTCGTTTGGAATAGCTTTTGTTCTTGCTTGATTAGCCAAACATCATTATAAGCAGCTTCCAAGTACCAAAAGTAAAAAACAGAGTTTGAAAAGCCAATCCAAACAGGCCCTAAGCGCTAAATTGAGTTATGAAACAACATTAAGGTGTTATTTCATAAAACTAAAAATTAAGTACTGAAAATTTTAAGAGTTAGAATTTTAAGTACTGAAGTTTTTAAATTTTAATTAAAAATAAGTATTTTATGATATAGAGTCCTGATCTCTTGCTTCCCATGGAGCAAGAAAATTAATTCACACTTTCTATATAAACCGTGACCTTTCTTTTTAACACAAAACCACTCTCACCCTATTTTTAGTTTCTATATTTAATTTTACCATTACCACTTACGTAACAATAAAAGGTAATTATCAACTCTCTCCATTTCTTTGTGCGTTAAATTTGAATCCATGGACAAAAGTGTCGACAAATGATTACTCTCCATGGATAAGGCTGTGAGAAGATCTTCACCCATTTTTTTGGGGTTACCTTGTTGTTTCTGAGGTGGATTCTACAGTCCCACCATAATCAGTATATCATCAAATTCACAGATTCAATAATGAATTTCACCAAATGCCCAACTTCAAATTGAAATAGAAAGAATTTTTGTTCAAACTTTAAATGAAATTTTCTTTAATTTCAAGTCCAATAAATCAATTCGATATTCCAAAATGCAATATTACTGTATATTTATTGGTAAAAATACTTATACTAGAGAAGTATATTAATTTACTTATACTGAGAACAATAAGATTTTTTTAAGAAAATGCTATAATATCATACTGTTGTTGCAAAATTGAAAGATAAGAGTATTGTTTTTCTTTCAAAAAAATATCTACATAAAAATAATTTTTTAACTAAAATATACTGGTATTATTTTTTTTCAAATGTTTCTATTTTTATTTTGATAATTACTTTTTATTGTTAATAGGTGGTAATGAAAAATTAAATATAGAAACTAAAAATAGAGTGAGAGTGGTTTTGTATTAAAAAGAAATATCATAGATGGATTTGAAAAATGATCGTTAGATTTAATTTAACAGTCTATATAAAAAGTGTGGATTAATTTTCTTGCTCCATAGGGAGCAAGAGATCAGGACTCTTATGATATATATATATTTATCCAGCATGGTTTCTAAATTACAATGTGTTGAAACGGCCGTTGTCTGGATAAATCAAAAACAAAGGCGGGCTAAAGGAGATTTTTCAGAGGGCTAAAATCACAACTTAAAATAAAGCTGATAAAAATAACTAGACTTCTTCGCATTTTCATTTTTTTTCTGTCCTTATTACTATTTCTCTCTTTGCTACCATCTTCTCACATCTCTCTTTTCCTTCCCATTTTCACATCTCTTTCTTCATTTTTTCACATCTCTATATTCCTTCCTTGAACTCCCATGTTTCTCACTCTGCATAGAATCCAATCGTGTGCATCCATTTGTCACTTGCCAGTATATCCTACTAATATACTCCCTCCGTCCCATAAAAAATCATGTTTGGGGAACCGTGACTCACAACTTGAGTCACGGTTCCCCAAATATGACATTTTTTTGTGGGACGGAGGGAGTACATCTGTTTCTAGTGCCGCAGCTAGGTTACTGCATCCCTGATCCCGAGTATGTGATGGTAGCCAATGCCACATGAGCATAGCGGATTAAATGATTTTTATATCTATCATAATGACACTTGAGTACTTGTGAGTCACGGTTCCCTAAACATGACATTTTTTGTGGGACGGAGGGAGTACATCTGTTTCTAGTGCCGCAGCTAGGTTACTGCATCCCTGATCCCGAGTATGTGATGGTAGCCAATGCCACATGAGCATAGCGGATTAAATGATTTTTTATATCTATCATAATGACACTTGAGTATATTGAGTAGGAACAGATGTTTAAGTAAACATGATGGATGAGTTTCATCTTAAAGAAAGCAAGAAAACATAGGAAAATAGCATTAAGAAATAGAGAAAAAGTCAAAATGAGAAAAAAATGGTAAATAATCAATCTTGAAATAAACAAAAAATGTCAAAAAATCAGGTAGCAAGGGAGAAAGGGCAAGTCTTCAAAAGACTTTTCAGTTTAAATAATTTATCTACCAACATAGCCCGACTATGTGGTTTCTTATGGAGAGTTGGGAGGTAGTGCGCAGTGAGGTGATGGGCACCTTGAAATTTCATTCTTATGACATATTCGAGAAGTCATTAAACGCTTTAATGCCCTTATTCTTTAAAAGGGCGACGCTTTTGATATTAAGGACTTTCGGCCAATTAGCTCAGTGGGATGCATATACAAGCTTATTGCCAATGTTCTTATTCTTAGGATGAGTAATGCATAGGATGGAATTATTTCGGAGTCCCATAATGCTTTTGTTGGAGGATGACAGATCTTGGATTCTGTTCTTATAGCATGGGAATGTGTATACTCCAGGTTGAAGAATGGGATCCTGACGTCTTATGTAAACTTGACATTGAGAAAGCTTATGATCACGTCAATTGGAAATTCCTTTTTTACTTATTTCAGAGGATGGGGTTTGGAGATAGGTGGAGGAAATGGATCGAAACATATATTTCGTCCGTCAAGTTCTCTGTTCTAGTGAAAGGATCTCCTGTTGGTTTTTTTGCGAGCTTTCGAGGTTTGAGACAAAGAGACTGTGATACTCCTCGGATCCGAGACATGGGTTGATCAAGCCTAGGCCCAAACCCGAGAAAATATTAAACAATTAATACTTTAAAATGAACACAGATTACAAAATGAATTAAGAAGAAATAAATAATAATGCTGAAAGAAACTAAAAATAAAATCCTTAAAATATAATTATTAAAATCCGATACTCCAAAACTCCATAAGTTTAACAACTCTGGAATCTATCTCTAGTGGACCCCTAATAAAAATCCTAAACTGAAAGTAAATAAAATACTGAGAAAGAATCTAAAGCTAAACATAGAAAAGATT